ACTCATGGTAAAATTAAGAAATCATTTCTAGAAATCATATATTTTCCTGTTTATTCGTGCTTAAATTTAAAATATTGCGTCAATGGGTCATGTAAAAAAAATACACTTCGTGTCCCGCTCTAGCACATTCATATAGTATAGTACTTGTACTGGTATAGAGACCCGACCCATTGATTGCCTTTGGCTGGCGCGTTACGTATACGCCGCTTTGTCCATCTGCAATGTGCGAACAATTTTTTCTTAATTTTTTTCCTCTCGTTTGGTTGGGTTGTGTTTCGTTGCAACACAACTCAATAACTTGGCCTGGACACTGCGTTAATTGATCGTCAGTGTCAGTCAGTGCAAGGGCCATTGTGGTTGTAGTTGCTGTTGTTGTTGCTGTCGCTGTTGAAACATTCACAAAGCTGACTTATCAGCTTTGGCAAGAGTGAGTTTGCTCGACCACGAGCACCATTAGCAGCTGCACAACTAAGTGAAATAGCTGATATGATACACACATACAAAAAAGGCAACAACAACACACGCACACGCACACATTCGCATACAATTCAACATCCATTCAGTGCTTTTTTGTTACTGTTATTATTATTATTATTGTTATTTCAGTTACTGGCAAAACGTTGTAATGACGGTTTTGCTGTTGTGGCATCTTTGCCAAGTCATACGGTTAAAGTAACAAAAACAACAACAATTGCAACATGTTGACAACAACGTCAACAGCAACAATAGCAAAATGTATTTTTTAATTGTACTCTAGAGTAAAAGTATATGCCACAGCAACAACAACAAATACAGCTAGAGAAACTCTATATAGAACGAGAAACCATGAACTCTCAACTCGACTCAACTCGACTCGACTCGACTCTCAACGACGCAGCTGAACAAACTAAGGAAGCGGAAATGGCAGACCGACAAGCGGCGACCGCCGACAAACAGCAACTCACAAATGTGCGCATGGGGAGCGCTGTTGCTATACGCTTATAGTACATACTCGCATAATGAAAACGCAACAGCAGACAACGGCAACAAGAACAACTAAATAGCAGCAACTAAATAGACAAGTCGAACAAACCAAGTAAACCGCACCTACATAGCTATAGCAATATAGTAGTAGTAGCAGCAGAAAAAAAAAAACATGTAGCGAGGGGAGGGGCAACAAGTTGAATGCCACCTCCAAAAGTCGCCAATGCAGTTGATTACAAGAATAATAAAATTCACATTAAGTGGGCATTCAGATAGCAGTTTGCAGCCACAATTGTTGTCGTTGTCTGACTTGGCGGGCGACATGTGTCAGAGCAGGGGAAACAGGACATTTCTTCACCCATGATTCATGAATGCGAATCAAATGTTTACATTGCATGTTGTCTAGCATTTACTTATAAGAGCGCGTGTTCAGGTTGCGGCTGTCAAAAGAAAAGGTCAAAAACACATACTATGTATATACATGGCCACGTAGCTGACGCCAAACAATGCCAACAGCCGGCAATGCTATCAACAACCACAACACCAACAACACCAACTACAGCAAAAACAACAACCGCATCGATAACAATAACAGTTGTGATTTACATGCAATTGCATGCAATTACAAGCCTATTAACATTGCCATTAACCCTTGAGTGCATGTCGACGTGTGTGTGTGTGTTCTGCTCTGGGCTCATTACTTGGGTTTTGTTTGTCTGATGGCGTCGCCTTCAATCGCACCCTGCTACGTGCAACACTGGCAAGTGCCCCTCTACGCCCCTCTCCCACAATTCGCTTAATGCCACCATTTTAGTTTGGCTGCACGTCGTATTCTTCCTCCTTCCCCGCCGCCATTTATTGCCGATATTATGCCGAGCGTGTTTACAGCTGCGTCCTTCCATTCCCAGGTGTTTGTGTTGAATAATTACAAATTTTGCACTACGTCTGCCACTTGTTTCATAGTTCCCTAGTCATTTCTCCCATACTTGACAGACAGACAGACACAGTGGGCTTTGGTTCGTAAAGTTTAGTTACTGCTTGGTTGGGTTAACAATCAATGCTGTACGAGTATGTGGGTATTAAATTTTATTGGCACTCAAGAGTGTCACTCTACACATTTAAATTAACTAAGTTTCACTATAAACTGCCATCAACATTAACCGTCATCAAAGTAGCATCGGACTCTAAGAAAGATCGTCAAATTAATAGCGTATTAAATTTTATTCGGGCATAAAATTTAGTGACTAGTGAGCTTAATGCTTACACTTTTTAATAGCATGCCGTGGGAAAATGAGTGTCTATTTAAGGCCAAATAACTATGCCATGGAAATAAATTAATTTCTAATAGTTGCAGCGACTTTCTTAATGTGAAATAATTACACCGATTTGAAAATTGTACCTCGATTTCTTAGATAGTTCCGATATGTTTAAAATTACTGCGAAGAAACTGCGCGATTGTGAACCATTATTCAAAACATCTTGACACTTTTTACTATTTTGTCGTAGCAATTAATTTGTTCAAAAGAAGGAAAAGAGGGGCTTCAATAATTAAAATAATGCACGGTGCGTTAAAATAATAATTTATGCATACGATCAACAGAAAAACTTCAACAAAACCAACTCAGTTTCATTTTAAAGCGAAATAGTGCGCCATAATAATAAATATGGTTGACATCGAACATTTGTTCTAAAAAAATAAATGTACGCGGCTATGTAAACCCTTATCTCTATTTATTAACTTTGATTGTTTAAAGTTAATGTCAGGGCTGAAAATACACGCCCCAATTAGGGGAAAAAGATTAGTAATAGCAGAACTTAAAACTATGCACCACCAACAGCGTATTCTAGATTTAGGTGCAAGTTTTCCTTCTTTTTTTTTTTTTTTTGCTAAATATTGAATTTTTAATTTTTAATTTTATTTCTCATACACATGTATGTATATTATATGTATCAGGTATGTCCAGTGAGTAGGGAGAGGGTAGAAATAGAAGTACTTAAAACAGTACACTCCCAACAGTCAATTCTAGGTTTTGGTGCAAGTTTCATTATTTTTTTGCTGATTATTAATTTTCACAAAATGCGCAATTTCCAAATTACGATTGTTATTTCGCATACACATGTAGTATATATATATCAATGCCCTGAAGTTCTTAAATTCAATTTATTTTCTCTGCAAAGTTGTTGTTTTGTGTCTTTAATAAAATTGCATTTTATTGTACTACAATTTTCTTGATATGCCTATTCAATTCAAATGAATTTATTCTGAACAAACTAATAGTTTGTTTCTACATCATTGGTTTTGGGTTTGGAGTTAAACCCACATTCCTTGGCTTGCCCATTGTCTAGTCGTACTGAAGCAATATTAGGCAATTTTCCTTTGCTGTCCATTCTGTGTTGAAAGTGCTTTAAAGTTTTATTATTAACTTAAAAATGTAATGAAAAGAGCTACCAATATCCATCAAAGGGTTGTGTATTTCTGTTCATTTCATTTCATATTTATCTTCTGATATGTGTAATGAAATTTATTTTTGGGTTGATTATTCCAATTCCAATATGAGTTGTGTGTTCAATATGAAATTTATAATTTATTTGAAAACAGCGAAGCGTACTAAATAAACAACTAAGAATTAAGTAAAAAATTCAACAAATTTATATTCAAATGTGGATTTATTGATGTTAAAATTTATGAAATAACGAAAAATTAAATAGAACACTGGGTGTGCATTGTGGCTCAACATGAAAGTTGATAGAAAATTGTGAAAATGTTGATAAATCTGTGTGCTTTGTGTGTGGCATTGCAATGGCATTTTTGTTGTTGTTGTTTTGTTTTAAGGCGAATAAATAATGAAAGGCTTAAGTGTGCGCATACACACAAACAATTACAACTGCAGACACACCTCTATATGTATGTGTATGTGTGTATAGGGCTGGTAAGCTATTGCTGTTTATGTGTGTACACACATTCATTAAAATGTCGAACATCGAAAGTGCCTATTCAGGTTGGAGCAATGCATGCACACGCACTCTCTCACACACACACACACACACTCAAAGCTGCATCCGCAGTGCAACTACATCTGCAAATAATTGTCAGCTTACTGACTGACTGAATGACTGACTGACTGACTGAATGCAGCAGCCAAAAAGCAACAACTGCCGCACGAGGAGTCGTTGCTTTATGCAAGCGCGAAATAGAAAACAACAACAACAACAACAAGCACGGCAGCGCAGCAACAACAATAACAACAATAACAAGAAGCGCGCTGCTCGTGGAGCAAAAAAGCAACCGAAATGAAACAATCACGTGCTCCATAAAATGTATGCAAGCGTATATAAATGCACGTGAAAGTGGGATTGGGATTGGGGATAGGGTATAGGGTATAGGGATTCGTATTGGTATTGGCTCCGACCAGGGGTGTGGCAGTGGCTCTTGTGGACTGCCATTTGGGGCAGGGGTGCGCGCTCAGCAATGCGGCGGAAGTCAAACGTTATGTGTGTGTGTGTTTGTGTGTGTGTAATGAAAAGAGGGGCATGTGTTACGTATGCCACTATGCAACCATCACCAGCAGCTGACACACACACACACACATACACATATATCTATATATAAGCATGTATGTGTGTGTGTGTGTGCACTTCAGTATCAGGGGCAGCATCAAGAGATATTTGAATTGCGCCAGCAACGAAAGCAACAACAAAAACTCTGCTGCTGCACATGACGCGTGATTTATGTATTTTCGTCAAATGGCAGCTACAGCTACACAGCTTCTGCTCTGCATTAAAATAACAACAAAAACGCAGCGACTGCCATGAAATGCTAATGATGCGCCATGCCCGTGCTCGTGCTTTCATAACTACATATCATGAGTGCCTCGTGGCTCTCTATCTTCATCACCATTCAGCATTCACCATTCAGCATTCAGCATGCACCATCATCATCAGCAGGGCATCTATCAGATGCTTACGCGATTTAACGATGACTGCTTGTATTCATATGGTCTTCATCTCTTTTTTTTCTTCTATTTTTTCTGTTGCAGGATCACAAATTGAAGCATATGGCAGAGCTGCAGCAATCAGTTGTCACCGATCAGGAGACACGCCATCAGATACAGACTCAGATTTTGCAATGGGAGGAGAACCTGGAGCGTTTGCACTGCGAACAGTTCCGCTTGCGTTGCTACATGGCCTCGCTCCAGAGCGGCGAGCTGCCAAATCCAAAGGTGAGTAGAATTCGCAACCAATTTGCCGCAATTTGCTGAAAGGAAAGCCAAACACACATACATTCACTAATGGTTGAGTGTGTGTGTGTGTGTGTGTGTGTTTGAATTGCCGCGCAACTACGCGCTCTGGCATTTATTGGCAACGATTAATGGAAATATGTGAGTGCTTGCTTGGCTGTGATTTAACGCAATTGCGCATTCAAAAGGTTTCCCATTGAGGACACTTAATGTCAAGGAATGTACATAGATGTAGAATGCAGCTGCCATGTGATTGGCTTTATTAATACCCATCGATTGGCATTTATTTATAGCAGCACGTGTGGTTACGATTCAAGAGAGATTTCAGCAAGAGTGTAGATAATTATATAATAGGCGAAACTATTTCTATTCTATTTTTTATTATTTCGCAATATTTATGTCAACAAACATTGACTGTCAACAATATCTGTACATTTTATACATAAACAACTTTAGAAAGCTTATAGCCTAAGTAAGAGAAATCTAATCAAATTACAATAATATCTATAATAGATATGCCCCGACTCACAGCCAAGTGCTAGAAAAAACTTACCAGAGAGAGGCTTAGAATTAATTAAAAGGTAGAAAAAAACGGAATGTCAGACGCGGTGGGGAAAGATTTATTAGCTAGCCCCTTCTCACAGCCGTTCCCGGTCAGTGATTTCTAAGGCAGTTGAAAAGAGCGCCTTTTATCAAAGGAAGAGACAGTTCGCGCTGTTGAGAGATGGCGAAAATATTCATTGTAGGTTGAGCATAAAACCCGAAAGGGATTGTGCGATGCATAATCAGTAGATCATCTATTAAGGAAAAGGGGAATATAATGTCATGTTGGAACTGAGAAATTAAGACGACTTAAAAGGAAGAAGAATCGACACAACCTACAATCAGCTTGTGAAGAAATACAACTCAAAGGACAGACCTTCGATTAGCCAATGAAAGAAGATTTATGAGCAGAATCAGCTTGAGTTTGAATAATGAGTACATTTTTTGCAGTACTAATTATATGTGAAGCCTTAATTATAATAATTGAAATGATTAAGTAATTAACTAAAGAAGTAATAAGAATATTTAAACTGTGCACTCTTAGGAGCATAGGTTTGACTTTTCTCATTGTCTGCAGACAAGGCCAGGCTTCCAAGTTCTTCATAAATATGTGGCCTGGAGTATGTTACGTCTCTCAGCTTTGGGCTGAGTATGCACTGAGCAGATAGAGGATATGTAGCTCCTTCTCAGTTTCTACAATTATTGCCTCTGGCCTTTAAATACTGGACAGTGTTCGATAGAGCTCTCATGAATATTCGATTTCATTCAGACTATTTAATTGTAATTACTATCTTGAGGACAAGTAACTTAATCTCTTACTGTTATGGCAGGCAAAATTCCATTGAAGCACCATAAATAGACAAAGGTGTAAACAAATCACTCTTAAGTTAAAAGATTAACACTTCTGCAAAAATATATACTCACCTAAAACTTTGAGCATGGCCCCATTTAGCAATAAATTTTCCTTGTTGTCTATAATTACATTTACCTACTAACCCACACATACTCGTGCACAAGACAGCAATTGAATTGCGTCACAATGAAAAGTCCCACTAATTCTGTGTACAGAATCAAAACGTGTACAATTAATCTCCATAACACTGTTTAAGCGTCTTAAATGAGCTTAAAAAGCAAAGGGCACTGCACCCCCATCCCCAATCATCCTTGGGGCAGCAACAGCACCAACAACAACAACAGCAACAACAACTTCAGACGTCACTAACAAACTAACAGAGCCAACCACAATCCTCATTCCTCCCTCCTCCCTTTCCCACGAACCGAAAAACCAACAGCCCACAATTTTGCAGAGCATTAAAAAGATTTACAAGATGAAGAGAACAGAAAATGGAGTAAGGGTTGGAAGTTAATTGCGCTTTTTATGGCGATTGCTCTGCAGTATCCCAGGGAAGATGAGTACAAAGACGAGTGGGGAAGGGACCGGGCCGAGCATAAACTGCAGTCAAATAGCAGGCAGCACGCATAAAGGAAGCTCATTTATTATTAATAACCGCAAAACTCAAACAACTTCAGCACCTACGAGTACAAGCAGCGAGAGCCACTTACATGCTTTAAAGTGTCGGCGTTGGGTGTCGGCTCTTGGGTGTCTGTGTCCGACCCAGGGCTTACATACATACAACACACACCCATACACACACACATATGGACAGAGCAAAAGCAAACTTTTGTGCTGTAAATTGATTGCTATCTGTTTGAATGTGTTTGTGTGGGCCGGGGATAATGCACTTAACATGAAATTAAATTCATTTTGACATGCACGAGATTAACTTAATTTTAAAATTACACTCACATTTATATAGAATAGAATACTTGTATGTATCTATATGTATGGCTTAGGCATCGTATGGCTCATCGATTTTGTATCTTATATCCCAAAAATTTATATATTTTTCAGTCGCTGCTCACGCACGTCTCGCGACCAACGAAGAACACTTTGAACAAGCTCGGCGTTTTCACCGTCTCCTCGTTCCACGCTTTCATCTGTGCCCGCTCCCCGTCTCTGCTAAATAATTTGCTAGCTGGACGTGGTGCCACCAAGCGCCGGCCACCGATGCTTTCGCGCTCGAACAGCGGCTCCAGTCGCCGTTCCATGCAGGTGAGTAAATAGAAATAAAAAATTTGATCCGCTTGACATACACTTTGACAAAAAGGCCATTCAAAGATTTTGTTGTTCACTTTTCTGCGAAAGTTTCAATTTTATCTGCGCTTTTAGAGAAATTTTTACACTTCATTGAATACTTGGGTGGATTTCAAAATTCAACAAATATATTGGTTAAGAACTTTTTTCAAATATCGACTGAATGCAATAAATGAACAAGAAATAATCACAAATATTCTGTAGAACGAGAGTTGTTGTCTGTCTGAAATTGTTTCATTATGAAAGCTGATCCTTTTTGGTTATCATATTTGAAGCTTTGCCCAGCTAATTCCTTTCCTCGAACTCAAATAAATAAAAAAGAAAAAAAAGTTAACTTAAAATGTAAAATTCTTGCATATTCAGCTAAAAAACATTAACCTCTTCTATATTCAACATTAAACCGTGAATCTAATTCTAGTCCGATTAGTTTCAGCTAAGGAAATTGTTTATCAAACTGAAGCTATAGGAAATAAAATTATTAAAAATCAAATATAAATCTGATTAAATTATAACATCCAATTAAAATGACAAGACAAATTCCTCTCCTCTAAGTGTAAATTGGTATGTGCTTTAGTATTAAGTTGTTTGTCTGCAAAACACAGAGCATATGAGCAATAGAATTATATGAATTTGGAACGCATTTAAGTGACTCGATGTATAAGTGTCAGTGCTGTGAGAATTCCTTTCGGGCCCTCATTTCACCGTCATTTAATGTGCGTTTTGGGGTTCGCCAAACGCCAACTACCAAATACCAAACCTAAATGTCTGTCACACAATTTGTTGCTTAACTTTTTATGGTCATGTGTCTGTGCCTGTTGGTCTGTGTATTTGTTTGAATAATTGAATTTGTATTTGAGGCAACGGAAGCGGCATTAAAAGCTAAATTGAGCGCTAATGCAAAGATGGACGCGAAAATGTCGCATCTACGCCAGTTGGCGCCACACCATGCCGACCACAATGGCTAATGTGTTTTGTGGCCATGGCTATTATTTATGCTGGACATTAACTACTATACATAGAATAATTTTTCTTTATTTTCGTGCGCCTATAATTCAAATTTAATGGCCGTCAGGGATTACAAACTAAATTTATGAATTGCAAATGCAAAAAAAAAAAAAAAAAAAATGCCAAGGCATTGTCGTGGACATTACGTATACGCAACGTGCTTTGTGGTACAATAAAGACAAATTTTAAATTTAGATCAACTTAATTTTTAATTGTTAAAACAGAAAACTTCAAGTAATATTTGAAGCAATGCGAATTGAAAAACTTGTAGTTTCGTTTATAATTCTTCCTTAAAAAAAAAAACAAAAAAAAAATGTAATAAAATGAACGCAAATATCTAAGATTTATAACACAACTAAGCACTTTGAAATAAAATGTCATAAAGTCTTCTATTTACAATGACTTCGGCAAGTCAAAATGTCAAATAGTCGTTTCAAATCACAAAGCTATTTGTACGTACACAATTTATTCAGCTATTGACTTTGTAAGTATTTGGTTGTCAACAAGCAAGATACGAATATGTTCATACCATATAGTCCGAGCACAAGTCAAATATATAAATAACATGCCACTCCTTTTGACTGGCCCTAGTGATGCACAAAAAATGTAGGTTGAATGAGCAATCAAAACTGAAAACTCGCATGTCCGACATAGTGCGTCAAAGTCAAATATTTGACTAATTGTGAAAAGTTACCCATACGCACCGTTGTGCAACAGAAATATTTTGCCTGCCTGTCAGCACTTGAGTTGCTGATGAAACTTTAAAGTAACTGGGGAAAGCTTTTAAATTATGTTGGGCTCTTTTCGCCTTTTGTTTTCGTTGAAGGTTTTTTTTTTTGCCTTTTTGTTGATAAAGTGTCGGTCATTTGATAGACTTCAATTACCATAAGCAATTTTGCATATATTTATAATAAAATTCAATTCATAAATTCAATTTGTTTCGATTATTGACAAAAATAATCACACACACACACACACGCACTTACAAAAGTATTTCCAATTAAATTTGCGAACGTTGCACAATTGAGGCAAACAGTCCAATCTATGTAGGCCTGTCCGGTTCGGTTCGATTCGGTCCGGTCCGGTCCGGCCCGATCAGCAAGGACAGAGTCAGAGCGGTAGTCAAGTTAAAAATATGCATGTAAAAATAACTGAAATACTCGTAACATAAATACATACGTAAAATGCGCGTGCAGCATTTGCTCGGCAATTCGCGCTGAAAATTCAATGAATTTGAAAAATGTACATTTGATTTGGTTTGGTTTATATTTTCATGCAATTGTGCGTCCACACTCTGCGTATGTAAATCGGTGTGTGTGTGTGTGTGTGTGTGTGTGTGTGTGTGTGTGTGCGTATGTAGTAGCTTTTAATTTTCAAGCATGTCAACTGCAATGCAGCCGAAATTACAACTGCAATTGAAAATGAAATGAAATTAAAGGTGCCAACCAACCCTGGGGATCGACTCGGCAGTCAGGCAGTCAGGTAGTCAGGCAGTCAGCCAGTCAGCCAATCAGGCAGTCAGCAAGTCAATTAACAATTGCAGTGCTTTAAAAAACAAAAAATTAACTTCTGCAGTTCAGTTGGAAATTCAATGAATTTTCGTGCAATGCGCAAAGTTACTTTGACTCATATGCATGCTTTTCGAATTCAATTCAAATATAATTGGCAATATTGCCCGAGGTAAACTGCAAATTTGACACTGCATGCAATTATGTCAATGAAAATGACTCAAAATATTTCCGCACAACTTTCCGCAGCTTAAGATGTGTTTAATGCATTCGCAGTCTACGTCTCAGAAATAAACTTAAATGAGTTCCTTCAGTTTCATTATGGTGTGAAATTTTAAATATTAAAATTAAATGTAAATGTACTTAAAATCTGGATAGTGCTGTTAATTTTATTTTTAATTCTATTTAAGACTAGTTTATCCTTTGGGTACAGGGTATAAAAAAATTAAAAAGGGTTCTGCAATTTCATCTTCCCTGGCGCGCAATAATATTCTTGCTCGCTTTAAGCACCAGGCGTATTTCTTTTTTTCGGCAAACCCATCGAAATCCTATCAGCATTTTGGTGTTCAAAGGGAGTGAACGTTAACCGAACAGATTTAAATTTTTGCACCTAAAAGAGAAGAGAATAAAGTGGCATAACTTTTTTGGCAAAAAGTAGTCGAGTGGTATTCAAAAAAAAACTTTGTCAAACTTCACGAATTGCATGATACATTACAGTAGATGGATGGTGAGCTGCTAAGGGTATAGGACTACGAAAACACACTTGACATACTCACAAAAGAACTCTTGCATTTCGCTAAATATGAGGAGTACTTGCAGATGGAAATGCAGCTCTCCCGATTGAGGCTGTTTAATCATATGTGCAGGTTTGGACCCTGGTCTATGAAAACCCCTGATTACAATTGGCTGTGAAACGGGATATAGCTGGCCAATTGGAAAAACAAATTTCCCATCATGTCGGGGGCGTTTATTAGACACTAGTTAACCCTTTTACCCTTTAAATACAGAGTGTTAAGAAGTGAAGAAACATTAAAACCCGAATAAATCAAGCTCCAAGAAAATTGTATAAAACCAAGTACGCAGTGCGTTGAAAACCAATCAGTCAGCTAGTCAGTCAGTCAGGGAAAGGGGAAAAAATGATTCAGGTATTCATTAATAGTCGCTGCACAGCACAACTACAACACTTTTAATAAATCAATGTTTTCCACAAACGGTTGAGAAAAACGACTACTGCGACTTCTTCAAGCTCTTAACCAGACATGGCATAGTGCCCCTCGCCTTGGCTGTCATGTCTTTAATTAAAATGAAAATATGCGAACGAGATTTCTTTCACTAATAAAATAGGGATAACGAAAGGACTGTGCCAATTAAGAAGCAATCTTCATTAGTGTGCGAATTAAAAAACCACTGCACTAGTCGGGCCAATAGTTACTATGGACTTGACGTTAGAGCTCGCTAACTCAAAAGTGTATCTCAAAAAAGTATTGACGCGATAAAATAAAACAAATTCCACCACAATTTGTTTTGTCATGCTGATCAGCCATAGCCTTTTATTTTTTTTTTTTGCTCAGCTCAGCTACTGTAATGTCTTGTGAACTTATTTGGCAGTCGCATGTGTGCTTTTCTTTTGCCGTGCGCCCATAATGACTTTCAATCGATAAGCTCATTTCGATGTAAAGGAAAAACGCCCAATTGTTATGCAATGCAGCTGCAACGACGTGAGGCCAAAAAGATTTTCTGGTTGTTGCCGTTATCGGTGCTGGGGAGCGGAGTCGACCCCCACACATGTACAACAACATTATAGTACTTGCCGTCGTAGTTCGTCGTAGCTGGGGTGCGAACTGCCTGACTCGTTGCCTCGCTTGCTGGTTGACGGATGTGGCGCTGTCGTTGCAAGTTTGTCTGTTTGTTTGCCTGCCTGACTGCCTCAATATATATCTCCGAGTCTCTGTGTGTGTGTAAGTGTGCACGGGCGTGTGTCTGTGTGTTTGTGTGTGTGTGTGTAGGAGACGGTGGTGGTGCAAGTTTGTAACTGTAACTAATTCAATTGTCGTGCAAGCCGTAAACTGCACACAGACATGGAAACCAACACGTGTGTGCTGTTCGCTATTTATGTACGTATGTGTATGTACGTGTGTGTGTGTGTATGTGTTTTGCACCTGTCCCTAGAAGGGAACCAACACCAGCAGAGCTAGTCAGCCAGCAAAACCATTGCCGTTGGCCTGATGATGGTTGAGCAACTTACAGTAGTTCTGAACTCTAGAATAATTGGAATTAAACATTCTTGTTGGCATACTTGTATATATTTACGATATTATTTAGATTTTAATTTGATTCTCCACCTTTTACATTTTAATGATATTTCATCTTCTATTATCTAAGCGGTTTAATTTTAATTTATTATTATTTAAATTTACCTTAATTTGTTTTAGATTTTTTATTGTTATTTCTTCATATTCATACTCTGTGTTGTGAATAAGGACATATGTAGATGGCTGGATTTATTAGATATGTTCGTAGTTTATAAAGGCTTTTTTATTCTTTAATTATATTTAGTTTATGTTCTCTTTTGTATTTTTTTTTTCTTGGTTTGCCGATAAAACAAAAATAATAAAGGTAAAAATTTAAAAAAAATGAAATTGATGCAAGCTCAAAGAACTTATGAAATGAATAAAATTAAATATTTTTATTATTAAATGCGTATTAAAAAGTATACATTTGATAATTCCCTTTAAAAAAAACAACAATTTTGTGCGTTAAAATATGAAACGTATTTACAAATATGCTAAAAATATGTCACATGAAAACGAGAACTATTTTTAGCAAAGAAGTTTACAATAAAAAGCAAAATAATATAATTTTTATACTTTTACAAAAAATCATTTTCATTGATTTGATGGATCAATAATAAAATTATTTGTATTCACGAAAATAATTACATTCTGTAGCTTGAAATATATTACATTACATTTTTACATTAATCAAAAATAATCAAGCCTCTTTCGAATTTGCATGCTTATTAACAAAACTATAATATCAAAATGCATAAAAAAATGTGAGAATTTTGACAATCTCTACTTTGTTTTTAATATATTTGGAAGCAGTAAGTTGTCCTTAGGTTCAATCAATTTCTGTTGATTGAATAATATTTGTTACTTGCCTTTTTGAAAAGCTATGCGCATATCGAATTAAAGATTTAAAAAAAAAAGTCTGAGCGAATGTTTCCCAAACAATATTGTGCTGAATTTGTTTGAATTTGAAACACTGTGGGGCGTTTAAGTTTGGCCAACGAACGACTGCCAATACAAATGTAATTTTCAGTAGTCGACAACTGGCAGCTGGGAGCCTGATTCGTTTACACAGCCGTAGCTGGCACTACTCCTGTTCCTGCTTCTTGCTCCTGCAACATAGTTAACGACGATGCGTCGCTGCTGCTGTGGCAGCGCTGTTGAGGCATGCACAAAACCGTTAAGCATTTTAACTGAGTTTTCTTCAAACTGTCAGTCCGGTGGAATAGCTGCCATCCGCGCCCCGAGCCCCTTTGCGACGCCCTAGCCACACCTAGCCATGTCCGTTGCCTGTTGGCGACGTTTTTCATTACATTTGCAGCGGGCTGCAGCAGCGGCAGCGGCAGTGGCAGCAGCAGAAAATGCGCACATGTTGCAGCAATGGTGGCTGCAGTGGCAGCGGCAATGACAGCAACAGCAAGAGCGGCGGCAGAAATGTGTTTTTGCTATTTTTCAATTTTCACTTCCGTACTTTTGTGCGCGTGTGTGTGTGTGTGTTTGAATGTGTTTGTATGTGTGTGTGTGTGTTGGCTGGTATGTCTGCGTTTGAGTGCTACAACAGCAGCCAGCAGCAGCAACAACAACACGGCTTAATGACATTGTATCTGAAGTTATGTATATATGTACGAGTACGCCTGTTTATCCAATCGAATTCTCTGCCCTTTTTTCCAGATGAATTCACGTGACGAACCGGAAAAAACTTTCAAAGTTGCGATGCCCGACAATGCTTACTCGACAGTTTATCTACGTGACGCCATGTCTGTCGAGGAATTCCTTGCCAGCGCCTGCGCCCGACGCAACCTCAATCCCATGGAGCACTTTGTGCGCGTCAAGAAGCGACGTGACATGGAGGATCACAATTACTTTGTGCCGCATCGCAATGATCTGATTGAAAATTATGTAAGTACACACACACACACACATACCCATACACCTACACCAAGCAAACAAATATAGGCGGCAAAAGAAAGAAGAAGAAACGAAGTCAAGAATTGAGCAAAAAGTCACAAGTGGCAGAAATAAGAAGTGATGGCGGATATGCGAGTATGTATTTGTTAGGCTTTGTGTGTTTGAAATTGCAACGATATTAATGTTTGTTTTAAAACGAAAATGAATTTTTTTCGAAGGAAAATGAATCATCATATTCATTATAATAAATAATTGAATTGATTTGAATAACGTTAAGTCGTAAAACCTTGAATAGCAACATTTTAATATGCGCTTGCAATTACAATGAAATTGTTTGTTTAAAAACGAAAATGAATTATTTTCGAAGGAAAATGAATCATCATATTCATTAAAATAAATAATTGAATTGATTTGAATAACGTTAAGTCGTAAAACCTTGAATAGCAACATTTTAATATGCGCTTGCAATTACAATAAAATTGTTTGTTTAAAAAGGAAAATGATTTTTTTTCGAAATGAATTATTATCATATTTTAATGCACTATAATACATAGTTGAATTGATTTGAAGAACTTTAAGTCGTAAAACCTTGAATAACAACATTTTAATATGCGCTTGCAATTACAATGAAATTGTTTGTTTAAAAAAGGAAATGGATTTTTTTCGAAGGAAAATGAATCATCATTCATTCATATAATTCAATTTAATAAATAATTGAATTGATTTGAATAACAACATTGAAATTACAATGAAATTGTTTGTTTAAAAACGAAATTGAGTTTTTACAAAGGAACATAAATTATAATCATATTTTAATGCACTATAATACATAGTTGAATTGATTTGAAGAACTTTAAGTCGTAAAACCTTGAAAAACAACATTTTAATAATGAAAAATGCTTTACTAAAGAATTGGGATTTCAAAAGATTTTGATTAATATCATTTATTTCAGTGTTCGCACTTTTCGGATACATATTTTCAAAGCCTTTTCTTCATGATTTAAAATTAGTTTGTTTTGGAAATATTTTAAACCATATCAGAGGCTAAAAAATGCTGCTCTTAGAGAAGCTATAAGTTTTAGCAAGTCTCTATTTAATATTTGGTCAAAAATATTAAAATTAGTATTACAGATATGATCGAAACTACAAGATACACACGGAACCACAATTCATAGTGGTTTTGGTTTATGAACATAAAGTCATGCTGCAGCTCCCCAATTGTAAATTTCGTAGGCAGTAATAGACACTTCCTTTAAATTAATTTAATTAACCATATCGTGCAAGAAGGGCCAATTCTTAAGTGGCAAAATGATAAGACCATAACGAATATCAAACGAAATGCCACTCCTCAAATTTCGATAAAGAAATCATTAAGCACAATCAGAACATTAGGAGTGCATAGAAAACGAAATTGATGAACTAATAAACCAAAAGTGTGATTAGGCATACACATAAACCGGTCTGTTTAACTCGCCTGATGGAACAGTATCGGACGAAGAAGTTCATTGCGAACAAGTTTTCCAGTAATAAATATTTTTGATTTAACAAGACAATATTTTTTTTTTTTTGCATTTCAAGCAAGTGGCGTTAATTATCAATCAAAATTCGAGTTAGCTAACAATCATTTTGCATTTGGCAAATAGTTAGGAACTCAAAAGAGTTCGGCATCAGCCTCACTTGCTATCAAACTTTTTGCGAACAGCATAATTCAAAAGTTCAGCAAATTATTGAATAAGTGCAGAAGCGAAATACTTGTGGGAATTAGTTTTATAACGAAACTGAATATGTCACCAATGTAATGTGCCCGCAGGGAAAGTTTACTCAATAATATTAAAATCAAGTTGAGCAAACGCCCTCACACACAAGCACACACACAGTCTCATACACACACATATATGAACGCAACAAACCCATAAAAGTATCCATACGTGAATATACGAGTATTTGTTCATAGGAGTATGGGAAGAATGCAAAACCTTTGGCTCTCGGCCCGTTGCGCGCCGGCTTGCATAACAAGCTAATTGCTGAAAGCAAATTCATCTTAACGTCTCGCTCTCTCTTTGGCCCTCTCTTTGCAGCTACATAATCACGAATTTGTGGAGGTATGCATGAAAATACTCTACCAGGTTGAGCTGCAACGCACAACATTGGAGCAGATGTGGGGCTTCTCTGTGGAGGCGGAATTGATCGAGAATGCGGAGCGGCAGGACGAGCTGTGCTGTTATGTGAGTCGCGTCGAGGATAAGAGTGTGGCAATGCATAATGGTAAGTAGTTGTAGTGCGCAATATTTATTGCACAACGCTTGCTTGAATTTGCACAAATGCTTAAGTCCTTTTGAACCGATGAAATCGTGCATTTAATTTATGCCATTGAAAACGGCACAAAGCTAAAAAGGAAATGGCTGCTTTGTCTTTCGCGTAGCGTCTGTCGACATGGCAACATTGCTACTGTGGCATCCTTCTTCTCATCGTCCTCCTCCTCCTCCTCCTCCCTGGCTGCTGCATCGTCACCTGCAGTCAGTCAGGGAGCGCCCAAAGCGAAACAATGTGGCTCAATGTTGCCGCCGTTACTGCCACCGAGGACTATGGGCTGAGCCACCCCTTGCCCCACGTCAGCCAAGAAATTGAAAAGTGCCTCTCTGTACCCTTTGCCCCTCCCTGTGTCTGCCACACTCGCTACAGAGCCATGCTCTTTGGCATGCAGCGCTTCTTTTATATTTAAATGCTTTTCACTTTTATGTCAAAAACTTGAACAAACTCACTTTAGTACATAGTCGAGTCAAGTGGCGTAGTCGCTTTACGCCAGGGAGCCACAGCGTCCTGGAGTTGAGCAGCAGCAGCAGCAGCTTCAGCAGCTTCAGCAGCTTCAGTTTGTATAGCCACCGCAGCTTTGGGTTTGGGTAACGCAAAAAGTCAACTGTCAACGCTGTCTCCGGCACAAATGATGACGACAAGTAAAACATGACTATGATGACAACGACGATGAGGATGATGATGATGACGATGACGACTATGAGAAGCACACTCGAAATATGCTGCACCTGTGTGTATGTGCTTTATGCACCTTTTCATGACTAAGGAGCTCAGTAGCCGAGCCCAGACAGTCAGCCGGAGTTGGCGGCAGTGAGGTTAAAGGGTTTGCCATCTTACGGGTTTTGCCTTTGCCCAGCACTCTCTCGTGCTTCTTTCATTTTAGTTGTCGTTGTTGTTGTTTTTCTATCACTTAAAATCAACTTAAGTTGGCATTTGCATTTGCTGGCAACGCGCGCTCACGCTTATGCTCGCGACAAGTTGTCAAGGGAACGGTTGGCGAAAAGGAGCACCAGCCAGTCAGCCAGCCAGCCAGCTAGCTCTGGCCCTGGCAGGAGCATGACACGAAGTCAAGTTGTAGTCGAAATGCCACTAGAACAGCGCTTTAAATTATGTTGCTGCTACCGCAACAGCAGCCCCCATTGAGGCACCACCTGTGACCACCCCAGCCCCCCACCCACTTCGCTCTGGCTCGCTGCAGTTGACAGCGTGCCTGGCTGCTGGTTTGGGTTCTCACTCACAACGGCTATGGTCGTCGGTCGCAGCTTGGTTTTGGTTACTCACTGCCTCAGTCAACTACCCGCTCCATTTGTTTGTCTGTGGCAGCTGTGCTATGAGAAGAACACAAAAAAAAAAAACACACACACACATACACCCATACCGACAGAGAAGTGGAATAAAAACTGCAATGCTGCACTTGGAAAAGTGATGAACCTGAAAGAAATTTTGAAGCGGAAAACTCATTAAGCACGTTGAGTGCACCGGTGCTCATTTCTCATGCCTCCGCGCACACGACAGCCCCCCAACCAACCAGCCAACCAGCCAACCGACCAGGCAGCCAGCCAACCCACGAGCGAAGAACGAGCAAATACGAATCAAAAATCCTTAAAACAATGCACACGAAATTCGTTTAAAAAAAAAAGGAGAAGAAGAACTTTCTGTCCCCCTCAACCTCACACCATTAAAAAGTTGGCCGCATGATTGCAAGCAGCCAGAAACCAACAGTTAAGCATTTGCCAGTTAGCATTCAACAGTCAGCAGTTGCCAGTAAGGACCGAGGACCCAGGCAGGTGGGCCATAATTTTGTATATTTTTTGGAAACGCAGTCAACGACGCCAAAAATGCGTTGCCTGTTGAGCACAAACAATGGCGCACTGGACAACTTTGGGCAACATTCGAGACGACTTGCAAATTACGCGAAGATGGCGCGGAATGGTGTTAAATTTAATGAGAAATCCCGCGCCCACAATGCTGTTACTTAAAACCAAACGATGGAGGTAACTTGGTAATGAGTTTGCAGGTCAACAAATGCTGGCTAACGAATTGCATTTCCAACGACATGGAGCATAAGCTGAACCGAAAACTTGAAATGAAGAATTGTAGCAATTTAGCAAGGGATGCTAGGGATTTTTCATTTTCGTTTCAGCTGAGAATACAGTTGAGATGGTTTATTTGGACTTGGGTAGAAAATTAGTTTTCTTAATCGAATAAGCTCCTGCTTTATACAAGTATAATAAATCTGAAGAGCAAATAAGATGTGGCACTACATGACAGAGATTTGGAATAGGCTTTAACGCAAATTTCTTCTTGTGTATGTTGTAATATTATTTGCACACCTCTTTGCTGGGCAGATTATTCCGACTCATAGGAGGCTTCATATTCGAGGCAATCGCCCGACTCCTAATCAGAGACTATAATTACATTTAAAAATATGTAAAAAGCATTCGTACAAAATAAATCGATGTTAATTGAAAAAGAATGGTTAACGAAATTTAATAAAATAAATTGCGCATAGCTAAAAAATCGTATACCACAAATTTCATTAAGTTGTAATTCAACGCTTCGGCATATTAATTTTAAAGCATTTGCACTAACAAAAAAGCTTGATAATTTGATTGTTAAAATTAGGTAGAAATAAAAAACAATTAAAGGTGTTTGTGAAAAGTGAATTTCACTTTTAATTTTCACTCACATTCATGTTGTATTTTTTTTTGCCAAAAATAGCAAAAATTGCATTGCCAAGGAATAGTTCCATGAAATTCCATGAAAATTGAAATGAGCTTAGAACTGCAGTATTTTCTCGGAATGAAATGTTTCGCAAACGATAACTTTTGTAAAATAACGTGAACGCACACTTATACAACTCGTTTAATACTATAGTCGATGTCAAATTCAAATTTCACACAAATATTTGTGTACAGCATTTGTGTGTTGCATAAATTAATGATCTGGTTTTCATTGCCAAATTAAATGCAACGCACAAACAGACATAGTGAAAGGGTAAGCGAGAGGGGAGAAATTGAGGAAAACGTAGCACAGCCACTCAATTGAATTTAATGCCCATTTGCATGAAGCTAGCAGTCCTGAAGAAACCACAAACAAAGCTCAGTCCATGCTGAATACTCGAAGTACAAACATTTTAATTTTATGCTTCCAACACAAAAACAAATCTGACCGCAGCATTAAAATGCAAATGTTGTAAAGGAACGAAACTAATTGTAAAGCAAGTCGAAGAATTAAATGAATGAACCTCTCTCCTAACTGGAGATACTTACTGGTGCTCGTGGTCGTAGTTGTTGCAAAGCACTGAACGCGGAGCACTGATCTTATTACAATCACTTGGCCAAGTTAATGCCTGCAGTGGTTTTCGAGCAACTTAAAGGCAGCTTAAAGCTGCACTAACATGAGCAGCAGTAATGGTTGCAATCAAAGCAAGTGCCATGCACTCAGGCACACATCGCACACACAGCCACACCCACCCACACACACACACACACACTATACTCCTATACTATACACTATACGCCTATACTATATGGAAGTGCAGTGGCAGGAACTTCTGGATAAAACTTTGACATTAAAACAACTTGGTTGAAAAGTATTTGGCAAACATGGAATAACAATTTGCTTACAACTCTCTAGTTTCTCTGGTCGCTCGACGCAAATCCTTTTAAGTACACCACATAGTCCTTTCACAGAGGACTAACGTGTTGTCGACGCATTGAGGTCACAAAAGGGCTCCGCCATTCGATGACTGTGAAGACAAAATCGCCAATAAGATGCAGGGCACAGTTTGCTGAACCTGAATCGAAAATATAAAACAAAATAAATTTGTCTGTCGCATATCTTGCCACAAGTTATGCATACATGAGTATGAATGAGCTCCCCTCTCTCTCTCTCTCTCTCTCTCTCTACCCCCTAAGTATGTGTGTGTGTGTATGTGTGGGTAAGCCAAATAATCCTAGCAAACGTAACATGGTTACGAAATATATTCGAAATAGTTTAAGCTCCGGCACAAGCTTCACGCAACATGGCAGGACAGCCAACAACAACAGCAATAATAATAGCAACAACAACAGCAATAATAATAGCAACAACAACAACAACAACAGTAGCAATAATAACAATAACAGCGTCAGCGGCAACCATCGGATGTAAAATCCGTTTAAATTGTAACAAATGCAAAAATGCTTCCACACTACCAACAACAACAACAGCAACACCAAGCATGTCGCTGACATGTGCAACACACACACACACTCACACACACACACACACTCACCCACACCGATACGCAGTTGCAAGGTGTGCCAAAGTCACATAAAATACAAACTACCGACATAAGCAAGCAGATAAGAGTGGCAACAAACCAGAAAGAATGAGCGGCGAATGCAAAATAGAAAAAGCTTTGCATTGCCTTTTAGTCGCACGACGTGTGCAACTTATACCAAGAGCTATATAGATATATACTCGTATAAAGACATTGCAGACTGGCTCTTAAAAAAGACACTCTTTATTTAGTGGCCTCACTTGTTCCGCTAGCTATCTACTTTTTTTAGGTGAGTGGAGAAGTGTCGCTCAGAAGTGCGAGATAACTTTATGTTCAATTTCCACGTGAGGGCTTTGGTTTTATGATTCTACTGATATGTTATACTACACGTCGTGAATCTTTGATGAATCAAAACCTATATAATTTTATAGTAGCCTTCGAAAATACTTTTGAAAAGGGCTTCCCTAAGTGAATATTATGCTCGTAATTTCTGCAACCTCTTCACTCTTAATGATTGGAGTATTTGAGTGCCATTATGTGAGCTGGTGTCATTATCTGTTAGCTTTTTACGCTCTTTACTGTTCATATGTGAAATCCCTTATAATTAACAGATAATTCGAGATATTTGTATTATAAAGGACATACTTTTTATTACAACTTTGCTTATTGAATGATTGTTTTAATGATTGGAGTATTTGAGTTCCATTATCTGTCAGCTATTTACTCTCTTTACTGTTCATGTGTGAAATAATTTATAATTAAAAGATAATTCTAGTTATTTGTATACTAATAAACATATTTTTTATAACAACTTTGCTTATTGAATGATTGCTTTAATGATTGGACATATGGACATATTTTGGATAATTGTTTTAATGATGGGAGAATTTGAATTCCATTATGTGACCTGTTGCCATTATCTGTCAGCTTTTTACTCTCTTTACTCTCTTTCTTTCATATGTTAAATCCTTTATAATTAACAGATAATTCTAGTTATTTGTATACTAAAGAACATACTTTTTATAACAACTTGGCTTATTGAGTGATTGTTTTAATCATTGAAGTATTTCAATTCTATTATGTGACCTGTTGCCATTATCTGTCAGCTATTTACTCTCTTTACTGACCATATATTAAATTCTTTATAATTAACAGATAATTCTAGTTATTTGTATACTAAAGAACATACTTTTTATAACAACTTGGCTTATTGAGTGATTGTTTTAATGAAAGAACATACTTTTTACAACAACTTCGCTTATTGGATGATTGTTTTAACCTTTCAAACGATTTTGTGCTCGTTTTGCCTTTTCCTAGTTGCTTCAATCAGCTGGCTATAAGCTCTTCTATCCGGATACAACTGATTGAATTTTGTTGATCACATTTGTGGCTCAAATAAGAACCACTCTTTTGCGTTTAGTTTATACATATAACTATATATATTGTACTTAGGTATTGTCTGTACATTTTACGGCTGTCTACTTGTATGCTGCAAGTTGTATGCTATCGAACTTTTCTTAAGAAAATGTCAGAGTCGTCGTTGTCGTTGCTGTTGTCGTTGTCGTTGCCGTTGTCGCATGCAACAACAATGATAAGCAAAACATGTCGTCAACATGCACCTATACAAACACAAGTCACACACAAGCACACACACACTAATACACAATAAGGTATGCAGAAACAACAATAACAACAATGTGCAAATATGAGCGAAATAAATGTTGTAGAAAACGAATAGTGGAAGTGGAAACGAAGCAAGCAAACTACGACTAACCGAGCATCCGAGCAGAGCAGTATCAACAACAATAACAACGGCAACGCCGACATATGAACAATGCAAAGCCACAATGGTGTTATTGTTTTACCATGGCATACACACACACACACACACATACACACACATACACAGACACACACACTATGTGCAGTGAAGACATACGCTTATCGTTATAAAAGATGTCACTAGCTGCTTGTGTGCTGCCATTGCTGCAGCTCCCTCAACTCTCGTATATTGTTAATGTTGCCACAACTATCGGGCAAAGCTGCACAGCTCGAGGAGCGTATGTGTATGTGTGTGTGTGGGTGTGTGTGTGTCACCCACGAGGCACATGCATCGAATTGGTTGCACGGCGTTTAGATTTTTGCCATTGTCTTCTTTTTGGTTGGTAGTGGTGTAGTGGGTGCCAGCTTGATTGCAATGCTTCAACTCTATACAATACACCAACACACACATACACAAAAAAACGCACTACAAAATAATAGTAATAATAATAATAATAATAGCAGTAGCAGCACAAAATACGTTGTGCTGCACACCAAACACTATGGGGCATTAATGTAATTTTCGGGTTAAAATGCCATTTCGCATTTTTGCATTTTGAGAGCAGAAAGCGCCATAGAGCCAATAGCTTTGTCTGTTTTATTTCGATATTAATTACGCTTATTTTTGACCATTCAAACTATTATAATATCTAATAAACACTTTCACTTCTTAGGGTGAGATTTTGGTAAAAATTTGCAATGAACATTTAGAAAACATTTTAAAAAAATATATCCCTTACTACACTAATCATGAAAAATGATATTAAACAATGCTATTTAAGGAACAGAAGTATTTTGCTCACTAAATGTTGGGTGTTATTATGTACATATATGTATGGGAATATTCGTACCAGAAACCACATAAAATGTGGAGACTAATACGAACAGTGCACCCAAAAATTGAATTAAGAACATTTGGAGGTGGCTTTATATTTTAATGTAAAATTTAAAAAGTTATTAAATTTCATCGAATTTCCGCGAGTTTCAATTTCGTGTTTTGTGAACGACCAGCTTTTTCATGACTCTGTGTGTCCATAATTCGATTACATAAAAAAATACCCTCTCTTTAAGTTAATTATTTCTCCATCCAATATAAAGCTGTCAATAAACATAAGTATTCATTAGAGTTTTATTCTTTACACAAGACTTTAAATTAATTTTTCAAATTTCACCAATTTTGGCACTGTGTTGTTTGTGCCCTTTGTGGTTTTTATTTTAACTAGCAAATAGACTTCTTTCCCCCATAGTGTGTTGTGGCAGTAATAGAGAAGAGAGGAAGGTGCATTCTTCTAAACATCTGCAAGTAACTAATGTGTCATTGAGCCATTGGATGCAGCTGCATTGTTATTTGCTTTTACTTACACCGACCGACCCCCAACCACCCATTGCCCCATGCCCGCCACCCACCTCTTGGTATCTACTATCCGAACTCATTCTCTTATTACTCTCCTTCAATTGCAGGCATTATCAAAGGAGACGAAATAATGGTCATCAATGGTGCGATTGTATCCGATCTAGATATGATGTACTTAGAGAGTGTCCTGCAGGAGGAGCAGTCCCTCAGCATGATGATGCGGTAAGTGCAGCACCACCAATAACAAGAACAACAGCAATTGCAGTCTCGGCCCAGCTGTCAACTGTTTGATTGTCATTTGCTCAGGCTATAGAGAATAGATATAGCCGTAGCCAGTGTATATAGAATTGTCACGCACAGCAAACATCTGTTGACTTGAATGGGCATCGTGAATCCATCTATCTATCTTTATAGAATACGCATACAAAGCTACATATACTCGTACATACGAATATGAATGGGAATGTAGCTGAATGTCTATTGACAATAGACACGCTTCTATTGTGAAATGTATTTGAATTTCGTCTACATTGTTTGGGCTTAGATAAATTAACTGTTATGTGTGAAATGTAGGATATACAAGTATGCGTCGCTGCGCATTGTTGTTGAATTAGCGCAAATTTTGCTCACAATTTGATAAACACTCACAATTTGTATTTGGATTGCGCTTTGTACTCACATAGTATTGATGTCTCTAATAATAGAAAGCGCGCAGCGAAGTGTAAGGAACATGTTGCCTACTTAAGAGCTGTAACGAACTGGAAATAAATTAAGATATGGAGCTTAGACAAGTGGCACCAATGACTGAACAAAGTGCTGAATAACTAATTAAATGAATGGATATAGGGGAGAATTTTGGCAAAGCATCAGCTGATAACCCTCATAAATACTTCACAATTAAGTAGTTCGGAAATGCACTTTAAAGTTAACAGAAAATAGAAATTTGACAATTTTGGAATTTAATATAAGAAGGAGCACATTTGAGCAAATGAACAGTAATAAGATATTGTTTTACTTATCATATTAAAAGAAGTAGCAAGAACATTAAAAAAAAAAACTTAAGAAACTATCTAATTAATCCGAGATCTAAGTAGTTCATATGGTCAGAGCAAAGGCTTTTCTAAGTATCTACCTTCCCCATCATAATTCCTATCACAATGCAGATGCTGCCCCTTTTGGCTTTATAAGGCTTTAAGCCAGGTTTGTTTGAAAAAATATTCAACACCCTAAGTCTGCCCAGTTCTGCCCAGGTTTTCCATCAAAGTGTTTTTGTTTGTTTATCCTTTGTTTCATTGTGTTCATTTAACAACAATACATTTTCGAATGAAGCACATGTCGGCGTACTTTTAATGAATATTAATCAGATTCCGGTACCACATTAACTGATTTATTTTGACTTATTATGCTAATTAAAATCCATTTCGAAATCGCTGTGGAATTCAACAATGCTTCTAATTTTTGTCGCCCATGCATCAGTCCATCGATTGAAATATTAAAATTAAATGTGAAATTACAACAATTTGTACAATTGTGCAGTTTTGTTTTTTCTTTTTTTGTGCGCCAAAGTAATTGCAATGTGGCAGAAAGGAAAATGTTGTGTAACGAACTAAAATTCAAGAACAACAATATTAAATTACACAAAAGCGGCGCACATTTTGCCAAAAATCAACATCAACACCGACACCAACACCAACACCAGCAACAGCGCCAGTAACAGGAACAGCAAGTCGGAAAAGAACAAAAAAACACAAACACGTTTACATTCCCATGCAGTTTTGCCACTTGTTCCGTTTCGTTACGTTTCGGTTGGCGCTTAGTACCGCCAGTACTCCAGTACCTCCCATAAGCACCACCTCATCCAAAACCCAAACCAAACCCAACCCAACCCAACCGAGCCCAAGCCAGTCCAAGCCCAAGCTCCAGCCTCAGCCCCAGCCCAAAGGCAACGTCAAGCCGAACGGCATTTTGATAGCCTAATTAGGTTCTTTATAGAAACGAAACAGGCCGCTTTTGTGCTAAGCGTTCGCGACTCTGTTGGTTCGAGGGGGGGTGCAGCAGGTTCGTACTGAGTTAGATGGGTGTTCTCTAAAAACCCATTCGTCGTCGTAGTCGCAGCCGCATTCGTAATTCAAATTATGCACGTTGGAACATTTTCCGCATCTTTCACTAATTTCCCCACTGACATAGAAAAAGGTCGGGCAGCTCAAACGGTTGACGGCGAGTGGTTTGCTGGCTTGCTGGCTTGCTGGTTCGTTCGCTTGTTTGTTTGCTTGGTTGTTTGTTTGTTTGTTTGTTTGTTCATGTGGTCGTAATATGGAAGTTTTTAAAATATGTCGGGGTTCTATGTGAAAAAAAAAAAAATTATGTTAATCATTTATATTTTACTTTATATCCAAAGTTGACTTTAAAGTTGTTTCTCTCTCTCTCTTTCTCTCTCTCTCTCTAGCTCGTCACGCACCGAACCACCGGATCTAGTGGGCATAATGCGTGTCACTGATGATATGATTGACTCGCTGGTGTGCCCACCGCCGCCCACGGATCCACCAGTGATGAGCGAGGAGATGATATCTGGCCTGATTGTCCCAGCACCCGGTTGGAGTAAGTATGCGGGGTCTCTTTAAGGCGGGTCTGTCTCTGTCTCTCTCTCTCTCTCCTGTTTATTGCACTTGTATGCCGTGGTTTTGCCAACACACAACAATTTTCGCCTAAACTTCAAAAACTAAATTGTTGTGGTTTTTCCACTTTCGTATGATTTTTTGTATTGTTTGTTTGTTTTTTGCCTTTTCAAAAACATTTTAAAACCGCACACAACATCAATCTCTTGCTCGTCGACTTGAATACGGGTAATGGCGCAGGTGCTGCCGGGTGAGGGAGGGGTAGGCCAGGGGCAGGGGCAGGGTGTTGGCAGCATGCTACAACAAAAGCATACTAATCACACCGGCAGCAATGACGGCCACAGCCCGATGGCAGCTGCACTCAGCGCCCGGGACCTGGAACACGGCAATGAGCCTTGACTTAGATAGCACGGCTGAGGTACGCTCCCATATACTCGTACAGTGACGGGCAATTAAATGAGAGCAGCACCTTTAATTCAAAAAGAGAATGAGAATAAAAAATTCATTTCAGAAACAATACTTAAAAAAAAAAAGTTTTTAAGTAATGTAACAAACTTAATTCTAAAAGAGAATAGAATTGAATTGAATAGAGAATTGAATTCTGTATCAATCTTTTTTGAAAAAATACTTTTTAATAATACAATAAAAATTAAAAGTATTGAAACATAAAATCCTCTTTCTCAGATTCAAAATGCATTCCTTAAAAGAATTATTGTTATTTTGAAATAGTTTTGTTTGCTTCTTAAAATGTGTATTTAAAATTTATTTAATAATGTCAGCGTACATCTGTAAAATGAATAACTTTTGATAATAACAGCTCTGAAATAAATATTTGAAAATATACATTTCTCGTTGAAGTAACGGCGTTATTTAAATTAATAATTCATTCAGATGTTTGATTATATTTGAAATGAATTTTATGTTTAATTTTAAATTCAAAATTTTACATTAATTTATTGAATTATTATTAGTTTAAGAGACAACAACTTTCATGTACGAAAAGAAGCAAAGTAACGAATGAGCTTTAACTTACAAAACGATTTAACGTTATATTCATTAATGTGTAGAGATGAATTGAAGCAGTGGGACCAAGAATATATGTTAGTAAGCTGTTTGTAGAAAAACTAGTGTACCTATTCAGATGACTGCTACTGTGTGAGCGCTTGTGTGTGGGTGCGGCTGAACGGAAACGAAAAAGCGCATTTCCGGGCGCGCATACGAATTTGTAAAGTTCATTAAAGTAATTTATATTTTTCGTTTAATGCATGTTGCACATGCTGAGGCAGCGGGAAACCAGCAAACAGTTACAGCGTGCTACGACAAGCCCAACAACAACCACAACAGCAGTAGCAACAACAACAAGAGCTACATCAATATGCACCATGAGTGTGTGTGTGTGTGTGTGTGTGTGCGTGTCGTTTGCCAACTACTCTGCAACTACATAATTACAGCATTACAAGCAACAGCCATATATACTATATGTACATACATATGTGCCCCGCCCCTTACACTACCACACACACACACACACACACACACACACACACACACACACACACACATGTGCATGTGCATGCCGCTCTCAAAAAGCCGAAGTGGCTAAGAACACAAAACAATTAAAACCAACAAACACACACACGCATTCACTAAAATAAAAATAGAGAGAAAACGTTTTGTGGAAAAAACAACAACAGCAACAAATGAATAAAATAGTGTACATAAAACACACACCCACACTCACAGGCTCTATATGCAGTTTTTTGTTGTGCTGCAACAATTAAAAGGCACAAAAAAAAACTAAAAATGAGAAAAAAGCAAATGGAATAAACTGCAACATTACAAAAACGCTACAAAAATTAAACGACTCGCACCAAAACACATTCGTTTTACATACATACATATGTACTATGTGAGCATATGCATGTTTATGTGCATGTGTGTTTGAGTGTAGTTGTGTGTGTGCGAGCACAGCACATAAATATTTATCCCCTTTTTTGGCACCCACAACAATGGCAAATGTAAACGGACACTGATACATATGTTGAGGCATGCCTCCAAATCCTTTTACCACATGCCACAGCACGAATAATAAATGAAATATTAATTTCACAAAACAAAGCAAGAAGTACAAGCCAGACTGCCAATTAAAGCACAAAAACGTTTCAAGTAATAAACCATAAAAGGTGTATGTGCATAATAACCATTTATTGCTGTTCCTGCAGTCCATTACCAGTATAAAGCGGAAATTCAAATTCAGAACTGAAATTACACTTAGACAGCACTTGATCCACGCCATTAGCGTAAATAAGGATAAATAATTGGTTTTGTAATTCGATCTCTTGCTTTTGTTGCAAACACACGTTGGTAAATGGAGCAATTAGAGCTAATTATGTGTGTGGTTTGGTGTTCAAATTCACAGCTCAGTCAATTCAAAATGCACTTCTATTGTTAATGACTTGTGGGGAGGTTTTTTTTTTTTTTTTTTTTTTTTGGCAAGTCAAAAGGAGGTTGCGTAAGCAAACAAAATTAATCCACTAAAAATTGCGAAAACTTTGCTGAGTATCAAGTAAACACATTAGAAGTGAAGTGTTGTTTCAAAAGTGTGCCGACATTCAAAATAAAACATTCCGCTCTTCTCGACTTTAATTTCTTTATGATGTCAGCAGTATATTGCGACGGTTTTAAAATACTCCAAACTACCAGAGTAAGATGAAAAATAAGCATAGCATACTTTTGAGAGTCAATCTTCGGTTTCTTTAGAAAACAATTTAAAGGTATTTGAAAAAAACATGCACAACCAACCACATTAGCGAAAAGTTACTCACTAATGTTTAAATTAACAAGAGAGAACGCTACAGTCGAGCAAGCCCGACAGTGTAATACCCTGTACCCAGGTAAACTTCCGTCACTGAGTTATATGCGCCCATAGCAGCAGCAAAAAGAGGAAGAAGAAGAGCGAACTCGTTGCTGCAGTTTGTGGGGGTTGTACTGTAGAGAATTTGTTTCGCTAATAACTTTTCACAGAATTGACCGAATTGGATAAAATTTTAAACAACAGTAGACAATTATATATAAATTATGTGTGCAAAGTTTGGTTGAGGTAGCATTTGAAATGTGGACGCTATAGACGAAATTCTGTAGCGGGGGAAGGGGGGGGGGGGGGGGGGGGGGGAAATTAAAAAAAAAAAAATAAACTCGTCCTTACTCGGACCTAGGAGAATCTGGATGCCAACTTTGGTTATTCTAGCTTTTATAGTTTCTGAGATCCTCGCGTTCATCCAGACGGACAGACGGACGGACAGACGGACGGACATGTCTAGATCGATTTCTCTCGTCATGCTGATTCAGAATATATATACTTTATGGGGTCGGAGATGCTTCCTTCTGCATGTTACATACTTTGCACAAACCTAATATACCCTTTTTACCCTACGGGTACAGGGTATAAAAATGTAATAAATAGTAAGAAAAACAAATGAACGCTTGAAATTATTCATCCAACAAAATATTTTAATTATCAAAAAAAAAAAAAACAAACAAATACTTTCTATAAATAACTCTTAAATTTCTAATGGGAAAATAACATTGAAGCTTTTAAATCAATACGTAAGGGTTGTTGAAAATATAAAAAATATAAATACTTTGAAATTTGAATTAATGTTTTTTAAAAGCAAAAAGCTTCCAATCTTAAACTTATTTATAACTTATAAATAACTCTTAAAGTTCTAATGCGAAAGTATCATTGAAGCTTGCAAATCAATAAGTAAGGGTTGTTGAAAATATAAAAAATAAAAATACTTTGAAATTTGAATCAATGTTAAAAGCTGTACATGCACTTTTCTTATCTAATATTGTTTAAAATGTTGAGTCTAATATAATATCAATTCTTTGCAAGTATTTCAAAATTATAGTGTCAATGATTTTAGTGTCTATTGCCAGTTAACTCTGGGCAGGGCAGATCACGTCTATACATTATTACCACAACGTCGACATGGCAGGCACACATACTTGTACAAACATACATACGTGTACATTCAAACTTTGACACATACGCTTACATGCATTTTGTAAGCTACCACATGCTAAAATTTATAAGACCAGCCATTTCAATATCTGGCACAAGCAAATGTCTTTGGCACACACAAACATACCCTCTGTAATGCACAATGTATGGATGTGTTTGTGTGTGTGTGTGTGTGTGTGTGTCAGTACTCGTATGTGGTGTCAAATTTAAGGAAAATGTTCATAAAATTGTACGTAGTCGTAGTAACAAATTTGCATGCGGGGCCACATTCAAGGACGTCACTTTTTAAACGTTTCCTCTGCCTTGTTGGAGAATGCGAAACTACACGACAGCTCTGACTACAATAAACTGCTGCTGTTACTGCTGCAGCCATCCTTCCCTACATCCTGCCCCCTACCCACTACCTCACCCATTCCCTTCATTACCAACGACAACATGGTGTCCTATAAATTTTTTGGTAAAAAGCGCACGTATGTGTCACTGTGTATGTGAGTGTCTTTCTCTATCTATGTGTGGCAGTGTTTGAGTGTATTGGTGCAGTCCTCACACGCGGACGTTGTGGCAAACACATAGCAGCAATAATCATTACAGAATGTTGGTGTTGTTGTTTTTGGCGTTGTTATTGTTGTCGTTGTTGCTGTTGCTGTTGTTATTACTTTTAGCTTTGTGCTGCTGGCTTTTTGACGCGTTTGCCGCCGTTTCCGCAAGTATTAAATTCCTCCGCGCCACATACACATGCGAGCAAACAAAAACAAACAAATACACACATACTACTATATACTTATAACAACATCCGCTCACTCCTTTCTACACATTTTATTGCGAAAACATGGAATTTAAAATTAACAAACAAGCTGCAAACATAAATAAAAAAGTTAATCGAACTTTAAACTACCCAAAATTACAACAGCAACAGCAACAACAATAACGTGCAGCCATTGGAATTTTTTTCATTTCGTATATACTTATATATATCTGGCAACCACGGCAGATTGGGCTGCAAAAAGAAGATTGGGATGGTGGCAGTCGGGCAGTCGGGCAGCCCGGCAGGCTGCGGCGGCTCCAGCTAATTATGAACACGAAAAACTAATAATAATAATAACAAAACAAACTTTTTTATTTGTTCGTGCTGCTATCTTCCGTTTACTCCACAACCATGCAGATGGCACAGGCAAGGATTTATATTCACCGGAGGCAGAGAGCTCGCCAGCACCCTCATTTGTGGAGCCCACAGGCGCCCAACTGGCTGTAGTTGGAGGCGTTGTCAAGGCGACATCGCGCACCAGCAGCTTCGAGATTGAGAATCTGCTGAAGACCGCAGAGCAAGTAAGTGCAAGCATCAAAATTGAAGGCAGTATTGCTGACATATCTAACTAAGTACTAAGCGAGGCAAACAAAAATGACAAACAAATATGGAAATTGAATAAGCAGAAAAGAAAAAAATTGAAACAAAGGCCAGCACACGCAAGTGCTGGTGCCCATACCACTCCTATTACCACCAGATCCCCCACCGTCCCCAAAACAAACATAGCCCCCATATTGGCTGTTTGTCAGCCAACATTTTTTTTTTTTGCTCTTCCAACTTTTCTATTTTGGCACAAGCCTTGCCCTCTAGTTGTACCCCCAGCCATCTGGCAAATCAAATTCCTTTGAACTCGCAAAAGCGGAAACGGAAACTATTAAAACGAGCGCCAAAGCTGTAGCTGAAGCGCCAATGCGCCGATGGGCTTCCCAGTCCTGAGAATTGTATGATTGAAATGTGAACAAATTGAAATTTCGCCAAGATGTGTTGCGACTTCCTGCCACTACTTACACTTTGAAAATGTTTTCCTACTTGCACAAGTTCTTCTCTGTCTTCAATTGAGAAGTCCTTTTGCTCCGATGCTTGCTGAACTTTCTACGAAAGTCCTCTTCCTTTTCAAATTGATGGAATTGCTCTTTACTTTTTCTGCGGACTGAAACTGATGTGTCGTGCGTTCTTAATAAATGCTTCGTTTGCACTTCTTAGATGGATATATCCTTTAATTATTTTTATTTTAAATTAAACTATCAAATTGTTAGGATTTTCTTGGGTTCTTAAGATTTAGAATCTTATATCAATATCAATTTTTCGTGGAAAACCTATAATTATGGCAAGAAAAATAATTATTGATATGGAAAAATTGTCTCTATTTTCAAAATTCATGAAGAAACTGTACCCTTTTAATAAAGTATTAGCATATATGATATGCAGAAACGGTATTATATATATTATAAGCCATATTTAATTGATACACCATAGGGCGCTGATTAGAACTGGTTAAAACATGACTCACATTTTTAAAGCCACTTAACATATTTTTCTGGAGCTCGTACTGTTCATCGATATGAAATTAAATTTAAAAATTAATACAATATAATTAAATTGAGCTCCTTTAACAATTTCTCGACATAAATATTGTCAAATAGCTAGTTTTTTGAAGCATAAACTTGAACTCAATTTAAAATATTATTGTAGAAATACTCCAAAATAAGTATTTCCAAAAATTAAGTAAAAATCGTGCATTATAATATGTATATTATAATTAAATGGAGCTCTTTTAAACAATTTTCGATCTACATATTATCAAATAGGAATTTATTTTAAAGCAGAAACTTAAACTCATTTCTACAAAAGAAATATTTTAAATAATTGAGGAAAAATTAAAATAGGAGTGAAGCGGTGCTTTAATTTCTTCGAGTGTAGGCAGCTTTTGTCAATGGCGATGTGGTCGGACATATTGCACGACAAATTTGGCCTATTGGGCCCCTGTTGCCGCTCAAAGCAATGTACAAGTGAAATGCCACACAAAACAATAACAATGACGACGACAGCCGCAACCACAAACAAAAAAAATATGAAAGTATAAAAAATAATAATAGAATGTGACAGCATAAAAATATCAAGGATATATGTATATATATACACTTGTATTTATAGGAGCAGGACAGTGGTGTAGGGGAGGAGGGTGGAGGTGGTTAGAGAAAAAAAGCAAAGGCACCACAGAATGCACTTTGTTTCTGGATGCTTTCCCAAGAGTGCTCGAAACTGGCAGAAACCCACTTCATTTAATGATACTTGAACACTGTGACACACAAACACACTGAAACTGAAACTGAGACCAAGACACACACACACACACACACACACACACACACACACACACACACGCACACACATACAGATGGTAACGTGCATATGCACGTGAAGAGACAGAGACCGAAACAGAATGAGGAAGAGAGGGAGAGAGAGAGCGCGAGAGCGTTACATAAGAATCCTTTTAATTCAAGTTGACATTTCGCACACACCAAAGCCCAAGAAATTGAAGACATTTTCAAATTTCTCTTCTTTGGGGCAAAACGACGATGACGACGATGATGACGCCCTTGCAGACGCCTGCAGCGACGCCGCAGCGACAACGTTGGCACTCAGCTGCAGCAGCCCTGCGACCCATAAGCCATAATCTCCTCACCTGCCTGCCATCCATTCTGCGTCCTCCAGTCCATGCTCGTCCACTCGTCCGTCCGTCCGTCCGTCCGTCCGTCCGTCCATCCGTCCGGCCATCCTTCGTTCGTTCGTTCGTCGTCTGCCGTCTGTCACTGTTGGTTTTGGGCGGCTGTTAGTGCTTCTGGGACGCAGCAGCCGCAGCCGCAGCCACAGCCACAGCCGCCATGGCCGCTTATGCAAATCAGCAGTGCAGAGCAGCGCAGCAAAAAAAAAAAAACACGACAAAAACAAAAAAATACAGAACAATAAAAAAGTTAAAAGTAGGAACAAGGAGCAGCAGCAGAAGAGAGAACAGAATAATAATACACAAAGTGCAACTGCATAAAAGTGAAATGTCTCTACAATGCCAGCAACAACAACAACAACAACTATAACAGCAACAGCAACAACAATGCGGTTTAACGCCGAACAATGACAACTGCAATTTCATGAGATTGTTGTACTACAATATAAAAGTCGCCGCCACGGTGTCGTCAACGTCATGAACACACACACACACACATTTTTACACGTTTATACACACAAAGGACTGACACGCACAGTGGTTTGCCAGGCGAACAGCAGAGGTTTTATAAACCCTATATATACAGATAGCTCATTTCCTTTTGATCACATCTATTGATAGAATGCTAACAGGTAATGCAGAATAAAAAATAAAAAAACAGTAATCATCCATTTATTGAATTGCACACAACAATAGTTGGCACTAGAGAGGAAATAGTCTGAAAAGTGTTAGCTCCATTACAAAGACATACGTTTTCTTAAAAATAAATATACAATAGACTCATACATATGATTTTGTATATGAACATTTTCCTAAAACCAACTAAGCATAAAGCTAATGCTTAGCCTTTCTGAAAAGGTGCTAATTTCGATGTTTTGCTTGAAAGACAAAAGCTTGCACATAAATTTACTTAACTTTGCAAGAAAGCTATAGATAGGACTACAAGTATAGAAATAGGATTTCAATTCTTGAGAGATATTGTTAACGCTTTTAATAAAAATTATAATAATAACTGGACAACTTTGGCTTGCTGGTGAAATTCAAATACTTGGTGAGCAAATTATTTTCTCTCTGCTCAAAAAATTTAATTATTAAATCCAAAAATGTATGTTAAATTCTAAATGCCTGCCAAGCTCGTAAAAGTTGTAAAATAAATAAAAATAAACAAATCCCATTTCCAACCACTGGACTACATAAGATTATAAGAAATATGTCAGGATTTTGTATTAACATGGTAGATTGTTTTCAGAAAAAGTCATGTAAAAAAAATGTAGGAGAAACTTTAGAATCTTGATATAAAAGCAGCTAAAACTATTAAAAAACTATTAAAACTATTAAAAACAGTTGAATGAAGTTATAATATCTCTATCTAGTGAATTATTTTAAATAATTTTCTGAAATCCGTGAACTGATGAAATATATTTCGTGATTTAATTTTCTAATGGCTTGCATTTCAATTCGAAAAATGAATCGATTTTAATTCAGCCAGACATTTCAAAGTGGCAGCACAGTCGACATACTTGTGTAACTTTCGTTTTAACCACGACCTTTGACCAAGTTTACCAAACATTTTTGTGAATGTAACAAAACAGAACATTCACCTTCAAAACTCCAGCAGCAACAACAATAACAACAGCAATGGCAATGGCATAGCATCCGGAACTTTACAGACAAATCGCCCAACATTTGTTCTACATAGTGTTTTACCCTTTTGAAACTTTTTAACTTTTCTGTAAGTATATCAAGGGTGACCTTTTTTTGTACTATGTATTGGTACTAAACATGGTAGTACATGGGACATAAATGTGCTGCGATATCAAGTCGTGTCGCCTTAATATTGACCACGCACAGTCAATTTATCAGACCAAATGACCCAGTGCGACCCCAAAAGCACATTTCGAACAATGGCTTGACGAATTTTTAACACTTTTCTTAAGATGGTGGGCGACAGAACAAACATAAGGGCGAACCAATGTGCAGTGTAAGGAGACTAAAGATTTGCGCACCTCTCCACACTTTATGCAAAATGGTTGTTTGGTTGACAAGCATATGTGTATGTGTGTGCGGTTGTGTGTGTGTGTGTGTGTGCGTGCGCACACATACTCTATGTCAACCGTCAAGCGTCAACTGTCAGTGCCAAATGTGCTTGTAACCACACACATACTTGCAGACGCACATAGAATGGCGACACACTCAAACACTTTAGCCGCAGCAATACACGGCAGCAACAACAACAACTTAGCCTAAGACAACAACAACAGCAGCAATAGCAACAACACTAGTGTGGGCCACGACGAGGACAAACACAACGCCCCCAACTTGGACTTACGACAAGGACGTGACAGTCATTTAGAACCGCACCAAACAAGAACGTCAGAGTTGGTCGTCGTCGTGGTCTTAGTTGTTGTTTTCGACGTTGTCGTTACGTTTTGTTTTCTTAAAGTGGCCGCGAGTTCAACAGCAACCTCCAACCTCCACCCGCCCCCGTACCCCCACGTGACCCCCAGTACCGACCTCAGTACCGTCTCAGCCACATCTAATTTCCCACAGTTTCCAGCATCTAAAGTAAACGAGGCCATAAACAAAGCAGCCAAGAAAATGCAACCGAAATTTGTAAAGAGCGACCTACCAACCCCACCTTAACCCCAACAAATGGCCTCCCCCCTCCGCCTCCGCCCACCACTATAACTATCATTATCTATCTGTATCTATCATGCTAACTTCATTATTTGTTTATTGTCATCTATTTTTTCGTATGCTCGCTCGCTCGTTTTGTTTCGTTCGTTCGTTCGTTCGTTCGTTTCACGATCCTCATCATGCAAAACTGCAATCAAAATTACGATAAATAAAAAAATAAACTACACCCACAACAACAACAACAACTACTACTACAACAACTACACACAAATCAACCTGACCTGTTAAGGTTACCGGCTTTTGTCGTTCACCTCAGGAAACGCGCAAATCGAGCCCCACGGGTTCAGTCACATCCTCGGTCTCGACCACAGCGCTAACACCGTCGCGCCAGCTAACCGATGCGGAGAAGCTGCGCAAAGTCGTCATGGAGCTGGTGGATACCGAGCGTACCTATGTAAAGGTAAGTTGGACCCCACAAGCCCCCAATCCCTGTACGACCCAACACAATCACCCGAAAAGCGACCCTTAAATGAAGGCAGCTAAATGGCCGCAGTAAAGCGAGAGAGAAAAGTAAAGAAAATAATGGAAAGTTTTCAGTAGAATACATCCGAATCTCACATACGCTCTTCCTTTTCTAATTCTTGCTATTTTCAGGTAAACGAATCAATCGAAATAATGATTCTGTTCAATATATAGTATATATATTTTTTATTTTTAAAATTTTTTTTTTAAATTTATTTATTTCATCGAAAAACCATGCTGTCTTTATGAAAAAAGAAGAAAAATAAAAAAATCAATACAATAGAGAACTTATGCTAAATAAAGGGAAAGATATAAAAAAGCCTATAAAAATTACACAAACAATAAAGCTCACACCTTAATTAAGGGTAACTATAGTATTTAGTTCCAACAGATGGAGCTGTCTTATATAAAAACAAAAAGTGTTTTCTATATAATCCTAAAACAAAGTCTAAAGAAAATAAAGAATTTAATCTTACAAAAAAGTTTTCCCTCAACATATTTTCCCGAATACCATTTTACTATGTATCTATACATATATGAATGAGCGGAATCAAATTCTATAATCCAATTCTATAAAATACGAAAACAGGTTTTTCTTATGTTAATCCGTAGAAAATTATCCGTAAAATCCGTACAAAATTGTTTTTAACTTTAAAGCCAGAAATGAGTGGCATACGATTAGAATCAATCAGGAGAATGGCTCAAAACAAATTAATACCAAATATAAGGCAAACTAAATTAAATACAAAGACTAACAAAGGTGTAGGAGATCTAAACTTCTGCAGAATAATACTATTATCATAAAAAGCCCACGCTTAAGATATCATTGTTTATCTTCGAATATATATTAAACTTATTTTTAGATTCACATTTTTTTTTATTAAAAGAAAAACAAAATATAAGGCAAACTAAATTAAATTCCAAAACTAACAAAGGTGTAAGAGATCTAAACTTCTGCAGAATAATATTATTATCATAAAAAGCCCACGCTTAAAATATCATTGTTTAGCTTCGAATATATGTTAAACTTTTTTTAGATTCACATTTTTTTTATTAAAAGAAAAACTATTTGAGGCGGCAAATATCGGCAATCTTAAAACTGTAACAGCACTATTTAAATTTCCAATTTTTAGATTTTTAAGATTAAAGGGGAAGTCAGTAATGCTTCTACAGCGCATAGCCTCTCAGTGTTGGGCTGCAGGGTATGAAACGAATAGCGGAAAAAAGTGCAAAACTGAAAACTGAAATATTCATTAGTTATTTGTCTTGGAAGGCGTCGAAGGAAGGCGCGGAGAACAGTGGCAGTGGCAGTGGCGCTGGCGCTGGCGGGTCGCACAACTTGCAATTATAAATGCAAATTTTAATCCTTTAACTGCGCCGCGTCGTGCCGTGCCACAATTTCGTTTTAAGCCAGTCCAGGCGCGTTGTCGCCGACGCATCTAGAGGCGGAGGCGCTGGACGCACAGACGGAAGCATACAAATAATTATTATAATTTAGAAATTATGTAAAGCGCCGTTGCGGCAGCAACAACAACAACAACAAATAGTACAGTGGCGAGATAAGGCAGCTGCTGCTGCTGCTGCTACTGCCACTGTTGATGATGACTCTTCTTCTTATTCTTATTTTCTTCACGCTTTTTATTTGTCGCCATCCCGTTCTGGCGCTCATTTGCCCGCTACCGCCCCCTACCGCCTGCTGCCCACTGCTGGCCGGAAGTATTGTTCCAAATGAAAGCGCGCGCCTGCGGCTATGCTACAGTTTTTTTTTGTTTTTTTTTTTTTTTTTGAAAACTTTATATGCCGCACAAGTTGCAAACTAAAAGTTACGACCACAGTTGTGGGAGTTGGCGACGGCGGCTGCTGATTTTTTAATTTAATTTATGCATTTTTGTTTTATTTTTATTCCACTTGCGCTCGTTTGTAGGCCAGTTTCGCCCCTCTGCCCCCTCCCGTACAGATACTGGGCCGTTGTGGCTGCATCTATGCTTTGTTATTTATTGAATTTATTTTGGATATAAATGCAGCACTTGAACAATCTACTGGAGCACTATCTGGAGCCCATGAAACGCGAGACATTCCTCTCTAATGCTGAAATCAATGCTCTCTTTGGCAACATACACGAGATTGTTACATTCCAGCGTCAGTTCCTGCAGAATCTTGAGGAGGCCTTAGAACTTGAGCCGGAATTCAATAAATTTGAACACTGTGGACAGTTCAGGGTAAGTGGAATGACTCACATAGAAATTGCGTGACTAGACTTGCAATTCTCGGACATTTATTTCTCATTCCCTCGCATTTTCTCCAATCTTTCTTCTTATTTTTTTTTCTTTTTTGCAGAATGTGCTGTTTGCTATCGGTTCCGCTTTTCTCTATTATGTAAATCATTTCAAGCTCTACTCCTCGTTCTGCGCTAGCCACAGCAAGGCTCAGAAGGTTTTGCATCCAAGTAAGTTTATTTTGCCTTTTAAAACGTTCTCGAAGAGTTCAAGAGTTCATGTGTGGGTTGGTATATGTGGCGTTTGATGCGAATCGAGTAAGTGTGCGTGAGTGAACTGTCCAAGTACGCAGGAGCTGTGCAAATTGCTGAAAGCCCTTTACTAACTTAAAGTGAGTTTTGCGGGACAGCTTAAAGAGATACAAATGGGAAGAGGAAAATAATTAATTCAGCTGCATACTTTAACAAAAGAATTCTACAAAAGCCCTTCGGACATCCCACACTATTCAATTAAATATTCTGACGAAATTAAATATAAATACCTAGTCTGACCGTACGCTAATTATCTACTAGTACATTATTCAATACATCTTAATAAGCCTTGTTAGTCATCATATTTAATGTCATTTTCGATAGGATTGAAATGCTTAAAATATTTTGGTGACCCCGATTGAGTGTTGTCCTTTTCTCTATGAAATCTTAAGACGTCTTCTCAAAATTCCACAACAAGCTTCGATTTAAACATTTAGACGCTTGCCTGTCAACGCCTCAATCAACTACTAAAAGGACAAGATAAATTTAAAGCAAAGACAACGCCCATGAATACTTAGTACATTGCAAATGGATGGGGTGTGTCGCACAAATCAAATACGGAAAGAACTATATAAATATGTACTTGCACGAGGCGCTGACTTGAAATCAGTGCCAACTACTCGTACATTGCAATCAGTGTGAACCGTCAAAGTCTATTTAAGTTGTGGGAAACTTATAAAAGTCAAATAAGCGAGTGAGCAAGAAACAGACAAGCAGTCAGACAATCAGAGAGACTGACTGACATAGAAACATCCACGAATGGCAACAAGGCGATAACTATGCGTCTGAAGGCGTCCACCCCCCTCCCCACTCGTACGCTTTAAATGATTTGCAAGTTAAATGAATCATTACAACCACAAAATCCGCCAGACGCAGGCCGCAGTCATCGCATGGAACATACCACATTCATATTCATGCATAGAGCACATGCTAGCTGGCAACTATCACATGGCGCACAGTCGGCGACGGGGCGTTGAAGGGTTAAGGGGTTGGCAATGGCAACTGTCAAGTATCCTTTGTTAATTAAACTTGTAGAATTATGACACGGTTACAAATGGCGGGGAAAATCCCAAAACCCTAAAACCCCAAAAGCCCCAAAAAGGGCGAAAAACTCAGAAAGTGCGAATTATGAGCAGCAGTGGGGTGGAGAACAATGCAGCGCCCATAGTTGTAGTTGCTGTTGTGTTAGTGGGGCGCAAAGGCGACAACATGTTGTAATTAAATTAGACTTAGTCTGAGCTTAAACACACTCGAACAAACACAATTGTTTTTGGCGAGTGGGAGGTGACTAGCAACCATTTAAACGACCAGGCTTATGCACAGTCTGCCATTATTAGTCGCTGAAATGGCAGCTTATCAGCTATGAAATGCTTTATATTGCCAATACTGAAGCATTGATGGATGATGGATGGCTGATTGCATAATGAGAGAAAAGGTAACATGAAAATGTATTAAATGTATCAATGGGCTAAGCTCCGGCAGCTCACCAGCTCAGCTCATCAGCCCGACTCCCGCTCCCGCAGAAGCAACAGCAAGCGGGATGCAGCAGTGTTGGATGCTGATGCCTGAACCCGGCTGTTGAATGAAATTTTATGCAAAAAGTTGAAAGGATAATTAATTATAGCAAGAAGTGCACTTAAGTGCCTTCGTTACATGAGCACTAACGGGCGCCCGCCATGGGTACGGGTTAGAGGCAGCCAACATTGGAAAAGAAGTCTGTGGGTGTTGTGATGGGATGCATATTCTTTGCTTGTTAAATAGATAGCGCAGACGACAGGCGCCATTAGACGCAAATCTGTGCTATAACAGGCAGATAGACAGGCCGACAGACGCACAAGCAGTTGGACAGGAGGGAGGCATGCAACGGTGCCGACCTAAGGCCCATCCATACGGATAATGCGTCGTGCAACGTTGCAGGCGTAGCTTCGACTGTGCCTTTATCAAAGCTGCTCAACTGACAATAAGAACAAGTTAATGACATTTTCTTGTCGACGTTGCAGACAACGATGTTGCACCATCTTATTTCCATCATCCCGATGCATGTATGTGCGAGTATTTGAGTTAATAGCACAACGTAGCAATTAATTACAGCAAAGCGAATTTTCATTGCACGAGTATTTGCAATGGGTTGCATCATCATATATATATGTATATACTATAGTTGTGCATAGTTGGGCACGAAATCAAATCATTTGCCAAATGTCTCAATTGCTATTGTGTTCAGTTATTTTGACATTAGCAACTAATTCGACCCTCCTCTTCTTTCCTCACAGACGAAGGCAACCATGCGCTTCAAGAGTTTCTCGCCGCTAGAAATCCCAAACAACAGCACAGCAGCACCTTGGAATCGTATCTGATCAAACCCATACAGCGCATACTCAAGTATCCGCTATTGTTGCAGCAGATGCGCAATCTGACAGATACGCGAGCCGACGAGCATGTCCATTTGTGCGGTGAGTGAACTACTTGTATTACTATTCCTACTGTTCTTATACGATAAAAACTTATAACTATCACTGTGTAAAATATTGATTTTTGAACCCGAAATTCTTTTCAATACATGGAATGTATTCAAAATATTCAAGTGTCAAGACATTTATTCATTTACTATATTCAAAATTTAAAACCAGTTTAAAAAATGAAACTTCCTTAATAAAATTCAAAATCATTTTATCTGTTAAGCGGTTAAGTTTTATGATTTTCCTTTGATCCCTATATATTAGCTCGATCCTTTACATTTCTGCTTTAACCATAATCATCTTTTAAAACCAGTTTAAGAAATCAAACTTCCCTAATAAAATTCTAAATCATTTTATCTGTTAAGCGTTTTAATATTTTTCTTTGATCCCAAACTATAAGCTCGACTGTTTCATTTTCCTATTCATTTTCCATATGTTTTCTTAAGCTAAACGTTGAACTTCAATTACCTCAACTCTTAATTATATCCAAGCTATCAGCTCGACTATCCTAATACTCTATTAATGTTCCATTTGTTTTTAAGCTAAATTTTAACATTTAAATAAGTTGCAGTATTATTTCCTCTCTAAAGGAATTCTTGAGTCCATATACTAATCCTGTTATTTTATCATGACCCTTACAGAGGCGCTAAAAGGCATGGAGAAAGTGGCAGAGCATATTAACGAAATGCAGCGCATTCATGAGGAATATGGTGCTATATTCGATCATCTGTTTAGGCAGCACCAGAAATCATGCAAGCAGCCCATCGACTTGAGTCCAGGTAAGTTGAAGAGTCCAGACCCATGGAAAATTACATATACAACTCTAGCGCACGGAATAGGTGATCTGTTGTACTATGGCGGCGTGGAATGGTTAAATATTTCCGACTTCTTGGGCAAAATCAAGAAGGGTCTAGAGCTGCACGCCATGTGCTTTGTCTTCAAATCTGCGGTAGTGTTCCTGTGCAAAGAGCGCTTGCGTCAGAAAAAGAAGCTTATGGTGAGTTTCCATTTATCTTTACACTAGAAACTAAGCCAAATAAATAGAATACAAATAATAAACAAGATAGAACGCTACAGTCGAGCAAGCCCGACAGTAAAATAGCCTGTACTCTCCACAAAAAGGAAAAAATTAAAAAAAAAAAAAATTTTTTTAAAATTAAATTATTAAAAAAATGAATGAATTAATTAATTAAAATAATTAATTAAATTAAATTAGAATACATGTTTATGTTCAGTTTAAACAGCATACATTTACATCACGTACCTATGCGTGTTTATATGCGTGTATGTATGCAGCACAAAGTTAAACCAAAGCAGCAACAACAACAACAGCTGCGGGCAGCGCTGCCGACAGAGGCAGCGCATGAGCAGCGATTTTACTTATGGCTATAACTTTCTTCAGAATTGACCTATCATGATGAAATTTGGCACACGGACACATTAGTACTAACTGGATGTACCTACCAAAATTGATTTCAAAATTCCGAGAATTACGGAAGTTATAAGAAAAAATACGAATTGCGGGGGAGTGGGGGGGTGTATCAGAAAAAATAAACAAACTCGTTCTGCCTAGGGCTTATAGGAACCTTGATACCAATTTTGGTTATCCTAGCTCTTGTACTTACTGAGATCCTTGCGCTCATACAGACAGACGGACAGACGGTCAGACGGACAGACGGACATGGCTATATCGACTCGTCTTCTCATCCTGATCAAGAATATATATACTTTGTGGGGTCTGCCACGCCTCCTTCTGTGTGTTACATACATGCGCACAAAACTAGTATAGCCTTTCACCCTTTGGGTACAGGCTATAAAAAGGAAAAGTTTAATAATAATTGAATAAACATTAAATCATACTTTTGATTTCTCTGCAATTGCAGGGCGTTTCGAGCAAAAACGCACCAAACGAAGTCGAAATCATACGCTATCAGGTGCTCATACCGGTTACCGAGGTACAGGTTCGCGCCTCCTCGGCCAAGGACATGGACTCTCACTTCCTGTGGGAGCTCATACATTTGCGTTCGCAGCTGCAGCGACGCTCGGAGAAGGTGTACGTGCTGTCAAACAGCACAGCCGACTTCCGCAATGCATTCCTCAAGACCATCAGGCAAATCATACGAGAGAGTGTGCGAAACATGTCAATTCCCATGAAAAATTTCGGTGGTAGTTCTGGATCTGTTTCCGGAATGTCCTCACAGGGCGGCTATGCGGGCAACTCCCAGACCCTGGAACGGCCAAAGCAGCAGGTAATCTCAACTATAGATTTTCCGTGCTTTGTATTCCAATCACAATCGCCTTTCAATAGATAACCATTGTGCATGGCTCGCACACGCTGGGCAAGCCAAAGAAAAAATCGGGCTCGCAACGCCATTCGGCCGGCAACATTGACTATGACAATCTGTCGGGCAGCCAGGAGGCGGATGATGTGCCACCCAGTGTGCATTATGCGCCACACACACAGCAGATGCAGCCTGTGGGCTTCCGTAGTCGCAGCAAGACAGTTGGCGATGTCACTGGTAAGTGTTTGTGTCTTGGACTTGTTTGTATCGCTTGCTGATTACTTTCTACCAACCCTCGTCCGTCCACCCTCGCACTACGTCACTACCTCAATATGTTTGCTGTCACTTAACCATTTCACTCACTCATGTCATAAAGAAATCACTTACTCCTCCATAGATCCGCAGCCGCATCAGCATCAGCATCATCCACAGCAACCGCCTCCGCCACCGATTCGTCAGCCACACTTGCATCATCACAGCGACATCGAACGCATTGATCCGGGCACCAAGTCAGAGGGTGAGGAGGACTCGCAACAAGGAACAATCAGACCGAAGGCCACCCTGGGCCGCACGCCCAATCACTTGACACTGAGGTGAGTGTAAAGTTAGAGAATCTAGAGAATTGGTTGAAGTAGAACCATGTACTAATGCTTGAACCATATCCATACCATCTCTCTGCCCATCTCTTTGGAACTGTTATACTCTCCCAGCACCACTTCTACGCTCTCGGTAGGCAGTACTGGCAGCCAGGCGCGCTTGATCCAATCATCGCACCCACCATCAAACTACCAACCCGTGCTAATGAAGGACCTAGGTAAGACTAGCTCTAGCGAAGGCGAGCAAGCAGCCGAGCTGCCCGACGAACAACCGCTCGAGTCGGACTTGCATGCCGCCCAAGTGGCAGCGGCCTTTAATTTAAGCTTTGGCAGTAGTGGTAGCTTGTTCGCATCCAGTAGTAACGATCAGACCCAGACCCTCCAGACAACAACACTGCACCTGTCCCCGCGCCAGTCCCCTCGTCAATCGCCTCGCCAGTCGCCAAAGCAGGAGATCGAGGTCATTGAAATATTCCAGAGTGAGGCAGAGCGTCTGGCGGCAACAGAACAGGTGGCCGTGGTGCATCAGGTGGGCAGGGAATCGCACAGGCGACGTGACCGTGATACTGACGCCGACCACGACCTTGACTTAACAGAAACTGACGCAACAGCACGCTTCATGGACAAACACCTCAGCGAGCTGGAGCAGGAAGATTTGACAGATGGCACCTGCGATATAGCTGCCTATATGGCTAGCTTGCGCGACAAGGCATTTGAGCCGCCGGACAATGGCACCGTTGCCGTCGATCAGCAGCAAAACGATTCAAGTCTGTCACCAGAACCACAGACCATTGTGGAAAATACTCAACAGACAGTAATTGTGGATATAGAATCGCCCCGACCAGCCACAGAGTCGGATAGTACGGGAACAACCACTGGACCATCGGAACGCTCGGAGGATGAGTCCGAAGAAACCGCACCTGTGGCCTCCCACATTGTTGTTATTGACAAGAAGGTTGACAAGCTTTTCAAGTCCAAGTCCCCGGAGCGTCCCAGCACTAGCAGTGGTGCCAAGCCGAAGACAAGTAAGCGACAGAGCATTTACATCTCGCCCGATCGATCCAAGTCTCAGGGCAGCTCACCCGTGCGCATCATCAAGATCAAGTCGCCACGCACGAGTGTCAGTGAACAGGGTAAGCGATTAAGCGTATGCTCGAGCCGTGACAACTCTCAGGATAGGCTGTCCGGCGGCAGGCGCACACCCAGCCCTCGGCGCTCTTCTGAAGGAGGTGGCGGCATACTTAAGCACACTAGTCCAGCGCAGGGCATACTCAAGCCACCCTCTAGCCCCGCAAAGTCGAAGAGTCCCGACCGTAGCTGTCTTAAGAAGGGCGGGCCATCGCATGTCTGCAGCGTGGAGTCATCTACGCTCTCCCCCCACATCTCCCCGCGCAGCAGCGTCGATCACTTATCGCCAGATCGCGCCAACACCTGTTTACGTCACTCTCCACGCAGCAGTTTCGATAGCCATGGCTCCGATCACAACCTGGATGTACCCCATGCGGTATCCGTACGTCCGATGCGTCAGGCAGCCGAGGGTTTCAGTAGCGGCGGGAGAAAGCGCAGCATGTCCGCTCACGGCAGCTTCGAAACTGGTAACAAGGTTCGCACACAGGAGACATATCAATACTATCCGGTATACGACAATCAGACGTGCAGCGATCATTATGTGGCAGCCGCTCCCACATCACAGTACAAATACACAACCGGCGGGAACGGAAACGGACGGCGGCTTAGCAAGTCTTTGGAGCGCTCTACTTCGCGAGACAGCAACACTACAAACAGCTCCTATCGCTATGGTGTCTCACCGGAACGCAACTATGTGGTCTACAGCTCTGGACCCCTACGCTCACAATCGGCCGAGAATACGTTCTCACAACCCATTTATGACCCGCTGCCCAGACAGCATTACGTCGCGCCCATACCGCATGCCGCCTATGCCGCTGACTTGGGCTATTCGGCTGGGTACGGTGGGGTCTGTCCCCACGAGCAGCAGCGACCCTATCAGCTAAGCTCCTCGGCCCCCGAGTACACCACTTGCATTGACTGTCTCTATCAGAAGCGACCTTCCTAGCAGAAGTCCCGCGTGCGGCAGAGTCGCACGCGGAAGAAGACACCACGCGGCATAGTTGTCGGAGCACAGGCGGCCGGAGGCGCCAGCATCGGTTTCATGCCCGATCCCGCCACTGAAGTCGGCGGCTGTGTCGATTGCCATGACTACTTCGAGATACACGTCTAAGCTGAATACTAAAAAGTTATGTTTGTGCGCTAGAGCTGTAAGTAGAGCAGTAAAGCGACTAATGATCATGTTTATGAAACTGAACAAACACTTCCGGTATTATAAAGCATTACTTGTACATGGTGTTTAGACGTTCCAGCGCCTGATAAACACTCAAGTATGTGAAGGATTATATATTCTATATACTCGCACTGTTTACAGCTGTGGCAAAGACTAAAACAGGGATTTTTAAAAGCACATTTACTCATTTTTGTATAGACCATATACTCGTATAGACTGTATTATGGAGCGTATAAAAGAAACATTCTGTTTAGCACACATACCCCTTACAAAGAATTGAAGCTGAACGAAGATTTTAACACTTTTAAGAGCATCCCATTTAGTGAAGTGAAGGGAGTGTTTTTCTTAAAAAACGATATGATTAGCCTTCATTTTGAAGAGCCACTTGATATATGTATAACATATATACTTACTATTATTTAAGTCGACCTATGCTTGAATTATTTGTATGGGGTATGTGTTGTTGCGCAACTCAACGCAAAGTTTCAGGTAAATTTAAGCTGATATTTGGGTGCTCCAGCCAAAGATAACATTGTCACATACTCTCAATTAACATAAAAAGAACATCAACAACAACAACAACAACAACCACATGGAAAACAAGAACCCGAAATGCCTCAAAACGATATACAAACAGTAAATAAATTTTAAATAAATTACTCAGCGCAAATATACGTAAAATCTTATAACGAAAGCAAATAGAAGAACAAACAAAAACAAATAGAGCATAACAATAAATGACGAAACTAAATGCAAACTTATACGATCAAGGGATTGAAAACGAATACCAAATACCCAACCAAACTCAATGCAGAACTTTTGAGTGTGGTGTGGTGGCAAGCATAAGTTAAGTATAAGACTAAGTTCGTAGATTCAAGACTCTCTCAGTCTCACTCTCAGCCTCATCCCCCCCTTGACTGCATCTCTATCTCCAGCTCTATCTGTACGTGGTAGTTAGCTCATAGTTCTACAAAGTAATCAAAATCACAAAATGATATTAACCCTAGAAGAGAACACCAAACTGCATGTAATAGTCACTCACCTGCCCCATGGCCCTGCCACATCGCAAAAGTTTCACTCGAATGGCCTGAAAATATGAAAATGAAAGTTTCCGCAACCCCAATAGAGTCGAGTCATCGACAAGACGGGGGTGGCTGTTCGGGTTAATTATTTTAATGCAGAGCATGGAGCATGGGGGAGAGGAGGGGAGGTTGTATGAGAAAGGGAGGGAGGGAGATAGTAAAATTTTGCATAGCTTAAGGTATAATTTACACAAAATGGCGGAAGTTCTTGCAAAACTTTCGCGGCAAATGAAAAACGCGCAACCGTGTGCGCTCTATATAACGCATACGCCGAGTGGTACACGGCTGAAGTGGCGTAATTACGCAAAACTAAAAGTTAAAATTCATACTCGCACTCAAGTAAACTACGTACATAAGAGACATGCATTCAAAACTTAAAACCAGACAAACAACTGCAAACATGAACAACGGAACGCACACACACACACACGCACACACACACACAGAAACGCACACAACTAAAAATCCATACTATATATACATGGTATAGACATAGAGAAAAATCATTCAACGCAACTGGTAAAGTTAAGCGGAAGTCACTTCGTAACTATTTTCAGGAAAACTGTTTCACTGACATTTCCACTCGCAGAAAATGGAAATGAAATCCAAATTATTAGTTAAAGCAGAGAAAAACAAAACCAACAACAAGTTAGAGAATTTTTCAAATTTAAGTGTAAGCGAAAAAAAGCGGGTTGGCAAAATTTCACATGGGTTAACAATAAAAATACAAAAGATACATATTTATATAGTTAGTTAGAAAATTTTCAAATTATTGTACGTACACATCTCGATGGTATAAACAAAAGTTGTGACAAATAAGTTAAATGTGTACAATTATTAGAACTATATATACAAGTACATACATATATATATATATGATTTATCATATTTTTTTATATGTACAATTATATACTTTTGAACGCGACATACTTGTACATACATGTATGTATCTGTGTGTGTCTCAGCAAGTAGTATGGGTTGACATTTTGTTGTTTTATAGGTCGTTTTGGAGATACATGTTATTAAAAAAAACAAATACAATAAAACAAATGCAAATAAATGTATTAAAGAATGATAATCGTAAGTTGTACCTCAATGTTCAGTATTAAATACATACATATAAACGTAAATAAATATGTAAAGCATAATATTATTAAACTAATATTACTACTACGGTATAGAGCCACCAGTATACATGGCTGTAGGTATACCTAAATACATACATACATACGCATATTTACTACAACGGGAGGCAAGTGTGAACCATTAAATTATATTCCAATCCGATAGTTCCATTACTGTCGAAGCCTTTGTTTGTTGAGTAAAAATTCATAATTGTTTTATGTGTTGTTTTCAAATTGTTAGTAAACTAAAAAAAAAAAAAACAATCAATATATTATGGAAAATCGTAGGATTTAACTCTGCCTTCTTGTCAGTCATCTGATCTCGAGAAAAAAAATTAAAGTTCTCCCTTAAGTCATTAAAAGTCTAGTAGTCTAGTGCTGAGAAATTTTATTATTTTGAGCTGCAATACCAATACTGATGTGATCAGTGTTGGAAAATTGCATCTAAACCAACACATTGCAAAATATAATATAAAATTTGTAAAACTAAACACATCTCGAATAAGTTCATTTAAGTTTCTGAAAAAGCCACTTCTTTGAATATTCGAGCACTGTTCATCTAATAAGTATTTTAACCCGATCTCTGATTCATTTTGGTTCACATTTGCCACCCAATAGGCTAAGTTTTGGGCGCGAATATTTAAAAAACAAAAGAAGATATACATATACAAAAATCAAAAGAAAATCATAAGGACTTAATGATCAAATATCAGGTTGTTCGAACTAAATGGAAATAAGCAGCAAATATGATAAATACGAGTACAGCAACGTTTACAGTTTACTCTGGGCTTCACAGCAACAAAATCAAAACTCTTTAAATCAAAAATGTACGAGTATGAATAAAACAAAAAAAACAAAAAAATTATGGAAAAGTACTACTACGACTAAATTCCAATATGCATGCCAGCATGCATGCATACATATGCCTCTAAACCTTAATCAAATACTAAAAAAAAGTTCATATACATATATTGTGTGTTCTCCAAATGTCACTGTTGCATAAATAACATAAATGTCCCAACAAAATCTAAATCAAAAAGGAAAACAATTTATCAAATATAGAGAATTAAATCAACAATAACTAAAGCTACAGCTAAAGCCAATGGGCAATGGAAATGGAAAACAAAAATGAATATGCAAATAGGTTAAACATAAAAATTCAATTTAAACAAATATTATCTAAATAAACCATAGTCGACGACTAAGCAAACATCAATTAAACTCAATAATTTCAACGACAGCTCTCGGACAGCGACAAATACAACAACAACAACAACAACAGCCACTAAAACCAACAATAATAAGCGTGCAAAATACAGCGATTCCCCTTCAACGAGCCCCAAAACTACCGCCAATTAAATGAGAAATGAATTGATTAGTTTTTTAAATTCTAGTTTACAAATAATTTGACATTCATTTTCAATTTATAGTTAAGCAGGTAAGTGCGCGCGACCACCACAAAATGCTAGGTTTTGGTCATTTAGGCGTTAATTAAAATCTTAATTGATGAATTAGACATTTAACAAATTTACGGGTGATATTTAATTTGATTATTGCTCGAACAAGCAAGCAATTGTCTTCAAGATTAGCAAACGATATCAAAGAAGAACGAGCGGGTGTAGGCCGTATTCTTGTTTTTCAAAGCTTCAGGCCTAAAAAAAATGATGATATATGTACTATATACTATTGTGTTTTCACATTAATACTGTATAGCAATTTATTCGTTTAAATTATTATAATCCACAATATAAATCAAAGTTAGTTGGTTTTGTGCCCATTCGGAAAAAAAACAAACACACACACACACTTACACATAATTGTATCTGTTGTAACTGTTACAGACACTTGATAGCTTGAAATACAAAAACTTCAACACAAAATAATCAAATTAGTTGGCATCGCTTGATTACTGATTACTAATTACTGATTACTGATGAAATGCAATAAGCAATGAATTTATTGAATGCCATTATCTTGCAAGGATTTGTGCTAGCTCTGTCTTCATTTATTCCATAACTTCCTTACTGCATTTATTAAAATAGATGTAGGTTTTATAATACGAGTACAGCGCAATGAAAGATTCAATTCAATTGTTCGAAAACGTAAATAATTTTTACTTTGTTTCTTGTAAATGATATATATTTTATTACGGAAATGAAGAGAATATAATGATATACAATCAAATTTGAAATAACTATATATGTCTTATGGTTACACACTTGCTCCACAACCACCCACTCCCTCCTTGAACTTTTGTGGCAATATTTAAACATGTTCAAAAATTTGATTTTCTTTTTGAATACGCTTTTTGTATATCTATCATGTTACCCCTGAATGAAGGAAACACATTTTTTGTGATTTGCAACACTTATCAACTTTTAGGCTTATGTGTTTCATAATTCCCAATTACAATCTCACTTTCTCCTTTGATTTTTCGATATCGATGAAATATTGCTTTTCGAAACAATTACTAATTTTGGTTTTGTTTTATCATAAATTTTCGCAAAAATATTCTGTAATCGGAAAGGAAATGTTTGAAATATTTCGTGTTTTGGAAATAGAAACGTTTTGAAAAAATGTGAAATATGAAACATGTTGTGTCATTACTCAATCCGTTCCATTCCGGCTTTTGTCGTTCCATTTCATTTCAGATCATATGTTGGGCCACGTTTAATTTGAACACAAGGTTTCGGAACTTTTCTGTACCCAAATATTCTATTCATAGTGTACATACGAGTACATCCATCTAATACTTCTAAAATAATTGAAAATATGAGTAAATTCTGCACAATTGAACACATTCTAAAGATGGTGAATGATTCGAATGATTCGAATGATTCACTCCATCATTTCAAAGCGCCTTCACACTCACGAGTAGAATCAAATATTATTAGTGTTTAACACATCTTGCATAAATTTAAAATGATTTCCTTCTCTTTTTCTAATTTTTTTATTTAAACATTCACACTCTGCACACTATTTTGATCGCAACTTTAAGAGTAGTTTGCAAGCAACACAAAACATGAAAAATGTTGGCATACAATGAAAAGTGGATTGAAAAAATTCGACATTTTTGAAAAAATGGATAAACATGCAACTAAATGAAAATGCATTTTCGAACAGATATAAAAGCAACAAAATCAATTTAAAAACCAAGCGATGTCAACATTTTAGACAACACTACTAACTACTGTACCCCACTCTTACCCTATAAATTGCTAAAGTCCTCAAAACCAAACTAAACTCAACTTAATACGTAACCCCACAAACTACCTAGTACCTTACTTAGCTAGCTGTTGATGGTGTTCCCTTCATCAAGTATGCCACTATTCTTAAGTAGTCATTAAACAATTTTTAAGTAGATCCCATTATTATTACATAAAAACCAAAAATTATTTTGCTTACATTCTAAAAAAAAAAAAAAAACAAAACAAAATGCAATGCATGCCCGTAGATTGTTACTTTAAATAAATTGCTTAAAGTAAAAATCTTGTATAATATACATAATTCGACAATTGGTAACGCGAAGAGAACAAAAATCTCTACAGAAAATGGTTCACAAATGCCAAAGAGAACGATTTTCGAACACTCTCGCTATATCTGTCTGACTATCTATCTCTATCTGTATATAATGCTACAAATTAATTATTGTTTTGGATATTTCAAATAAATAAAAAAACAGCAAACAGAAATCTGAACAACAAAAATCAAATTTCATATTTTTTCATATATGGTTTCCATTATATCTTTTCTTTTCTTTCACTTAATTGTAGGGTCCCCGGTGTGGAAACCACGAGACATGATAAATTTAGGCACAGATCCACAGTCAACAACCCGCAAAGACGATGTGAAAAATTAAATCAGATAAAGCCAAACAAAGCTTTTAGCATAAAACTAAGAAAATAATATGCGAAACGAACTCAATCCAATTTCTTGCGTTCAATTTTAACTAATCAAGTGTAAGCAACAACAACAACAATAATAATAATTACAACAACAACAAAAAAACAACAAACAACAACAGTTCATACAAGAACAAAACACAAGCAAAGCGAACTAACGTACTATGTATTTTTAAAACAGGATACCTTCAATTTAAGAAAACAAACAGAGTAACAGAGAAACAAAGTAACAGAGAAGAAAGAGAGAAAGAGAGAGAAACGTAAGAAATCAATTGTTATTGTATTGTATCCACAATCTTAAACTTGTTACGTACTTACTACACGATGATTTGATTTGTTTCTTAAGCATAAAACATCGAAGAAGTTTGTTCATTAATTTTATTTCAACTTTTAATAGGAACAAGAGAACAAAAGGAAATTAACAAATCTCTTTTAAAGACTTTGATTTATACCGATTGTATTTAACACGTGCAACAAACAAATTTCATATTGAATATATAATTAATTAAATTTAAAAAAAAAAACGAGCAAAGGATTTTGAAAAAGATTTAAACAAAAAATATGAGAACAAATTCAATGCATTTGTCGCTGAAAAAGACTTGAAAGTAAATTTCGATTTAAATACATTTATTGAGGGGAAAACCGTAGAGAAATTGCAACATTGTATTTAGGCTTAGTGAATTTAAATTTAAAACAAAATGAAAAACCAAAAACAAAACACAAAGCAGAATTGCAAATTAAATGAGAAGAGAAATGAAAAGGAGACAACAATTCAAAAAATGAATAAGAAATCGTTCAAAAGAAAGAACATTTTAGAGAGTTAAGCAACACACAAGCAAATCATTACACTCGTATTAAATAAAGCGAAATGCGAATGTTTAGTTTATAGGAGATACACTGAAATAAATTACAAAGCAAACCACACACACGGAGACACAACCAGCATGAGAAATGAAAATAGGAAAAATTTAGTGAAAATGTTGAATGGTGAAGAAGATGAAATAATAACATAACACTACAAGTAAATCCATACACACTAGTAAAGCGTTAAATATGAAATTTAAAAAATCAAATTTAAAAAACAAAAACCAACCCAAAAGTCCCTCACAAAGCCAAGTAAAGCAAACGAGCAAAAGTTTAAAAAACATTTTAAAATATGCGAAATTATAAGCATTAACAAAGAAATGAACACAAACACCAACACATTCACAAAGCAACAATGAAAAACCAACACCTAGCAAAATTACAATAATATTTAAAACCAAAAACAACAAAGCAAATCAAAGAAAACAAAAACAAAAACATATAGCAAGGTTCCATACGCAAGCAAACACAGAGACAAGTGTTCAATAATTTTCATTGTGAATTATTTATTTGAGTTCTTGCCATTTGTTTACACGATATTATTTGTTTTTGCAAAAGCCTAAGCGAAACAACACTCACATTTTTTGATAAGAATTCTACCAAGAGATAAACAAAAAATAATAATTAAATTGGTTGTGAATGCAGCTTGGATGTTATTCGATTAAAAGAAAACCCCCGAATTGCTGAATGAATTTAATCCATTAAGCTCACAACTCATCGACCATCATTCGATCACTCGATCATTCGATCAATTAATCATTCACGTTCTCCAGCTCACACTGTCGGCAGACAATTTTCGGTAACTTTCTTGCAGTGTATGCATCAGCTGGCTTTCATTTTGCCACTCCCATTGATGAAGATCGAAACATAATCAAAACATTTTTAGGTTTCCAATATATTTGAATAATATATTCAATATAGAATTGAATTAAACGGCAAACAGTAATAACTACAAATTCTAAACAGATTAATTGATAAAACGATAAACAAGAAATGAAAGGAACGAACGAAACTTAATCAAACCAACACCCCCACAAACAAACATAAGAAGAATAATAATAATAATATTTATAATAAAAATAATAATAATATACCAAATCACAGCATTTTAACATAATTTTTACTGTAAATATAAGTTGGAAATAAGAGATAATTCAAAACCAAAGCAGAGCAGTCAGCTTTACGATGCCGGAAACTTTAGTCAATGAAAATAAATGAATAGTTCAATTTTAAAACTCAGTTGAAAATGGTTATAACAACAACAAAAACAACAACAACAAGAAAGAAACAAAATAAGAAACAACTAATTAAAATAGTATGATTAATTTTGTAAGCGTTAGACTAATTTTTAATACATTTTAACATAATGTGCATCAATGAATTGTATTAAGCAATTGAGAAACATTTAATTGAGTTCAGCACCGGCCCCTCCGTCACAGAGCGGGGCGCAAAACAACTTTTTAACAAATTGTTATTGGATATTTGATTTGTTTAAGCAATTGTTAGTTATTCTACCATATTTACTTTGGCCTGAGCAGCAAGTAAATGACAGAAAATAGCAAATATATTACAGTTATAAGTCAGCAAACACGCAAACATAACCAAATTTACGAAATTCAAAAGCGAAAAGCAAAAACAAACATTTACAAATAGAAGAGCCGATTTGTAACACAATTGCAAGAAGTTAAAACGAAACGAGTCTATTTATAACAACCAATCAACCAACCAAACAAACAACAAACAAACAAACGACAAACATTTAAAATTCAATTTTTATTATAAAGTAATTAGCAACTGCAAAAAAAAAAAAACAAAACAACAACAACAAGAGCAAATGATGTTGAAAAGTACTTTTGGAAAACCACAACAAAACAATTCACACCACAGCAAAATACACAATAAAAACAATTAACAACATCAAAGATTATACAATTGCAAATGAAAATTAATATGCAAAATAAGGAAACTGAAGATATGTGAATTATATATATATATATATATATATATATATATAAATATATATAAAAAATGAAAATGATTAAATTACGAAATCCTTTTGAAGTGAAACAAATCCAAAATAAAATGTGAAATTAAAAATACATGCAAGTTGTCAAGATTTTTTACACTGCCTGTGGAAGGGGAAAGGATGCTGGCATTTTCTGAGAGTAAGTACGATGGACCAACTGTGACCGATATTGGAATAAGTATGTATACCTTAGTTGTCTATATAATATACGAATATAGAGGTGCTGAGATAACTCTTCAGTTCTTTTTAAATCTTTCACATCTTTTGAAGAATTTTGGTAAAATACGGCTCACATATGCATTTAATATCTTGGAAAATTTAAATACTTTTGAAACAATGGAGTTTAATATAAGCTGGCAACTCCGACTAATCAACAGGGATGCCAACTCCCTAAAAATATGCACATCTTTTTTGTCGAATAGGTTCTTGAACTTGAAAAAGTGTTTCAAATTAATTTAAAGGCTCGTAAAAGTGATATAATTTTTACAATAGGATCAAAATGCAATAAGATCAATTTATTCATGATTAAAAGGGTTGTGGACCGCTGCAGACAGACCTATAGAGCTGAGTAGAGGTGTTAGAAAGATTTATTTTATTTTTTTATTTTTATTTCGTAATATTTTAAGAAAAGCAATCAAATTAAAATATTTGTTTTAAAACCACTAAACTTTTTTAGTTTCAATAAAAAAAAACAAATACAATTATTTTTGAAAAAGAAATCTATTAGCAACCTTGCTTAATAAATATTACAATTATTACATATAAATCCGGAATTATTAGTCAAAAATTGAGTATTAAAGCTGCAAACAGATCTGTAGAGCTGAGTAGAGGTGTAGAAGATAGTATTTACACATATTTTTATTTCGCAATATATTAAGAGGAGCAATAAAATAAAAATATTTGTTTTAAAGCCACTAAACTTCTTTAGTTTCAATAAAAACAACAAATACAATTATTTTTGAACAAAGATCCATTAGCAATAAATAAATTGCTTAATAATTATTGCAATTATATATAAATCCGGAATTATTAGTCAACAATTTTGTATTACACCTCTCGATGCATTATATACTTTGAAATTGATTTAAAGAGATGCTTGTCGAGAACTTTAATCAGCCATCAATTACAGTATTTGAATATACATAATAATTAGCATTTCTTATAAAATATTTTCCAAATTTTTACATTATTGTTAACAAATCGCTGGCCGCTTCAATAAACGCTTAGCTGGAGCACATCGACGCTGATTAGCAGCAGATTAATGACAATGAAGCAGAGATTGTTGCAGAGCTTGGCCAACTCCCGCCAGGGCTGTTCCTGAATGTCGCAGTATTTGGTGGACTAGGAATTAGAATCGAATCGCATTAATTGAAGCCAAAAGAGGATCCTTAGTCTACTTACATCCGCAAGGCGCAGGCAGAGCAACAATCGCAATATCGACGAATTCATGAGCGCCATGAGGCAAGCGAAGGGCTGAACCCGCGGCGGATAGCGCTCCATCCACATAAGGGCTATATGAAGGAAATAGCAGAAGGCGGCGATCTGCATGATGTGCTGATAGGCCCCCACTGCAAAGTAAATCGGCATCATGGACAAAAGGCAAGGTTTTTTAATAAGGACAGGGACTACTTACTCAGGGGAGGAACGTAGTGGGGCGTTGCGTGTTTGGTCATATATAGAAGTCCACAGGCAGTCAGTGCCAGCACGATTAGAATCAAGGCGCCACGCCGATATCCGCGTAGTAGAAACGAGAGCACAATGAAAATTTGGCAAGCTGGAGGAATATCATTCAAAAAAATAATTAAACATTATATGCTTTCTCACATTAATGAAATATTGTGCAACTACAATTTCGGATTATTTAAAAAAAAAAACTTATTTTGTAAGTTGAGAAAGTTCTATTTCATTTTACTACTGATTAAACTTCTGCAACTTATCATCCTTTGCAGGTTTAGGTTCCCTTGATAAAGCTACTCTTAAGACTCTGGAATCTAATCAGGTAATGTATTATAGTTTCCTAAAATATCATTTTGGTTCAGCAACAAATCGCTTTAATGCCCAGAAATGCACTGCCTTTAGTTTTCCATTGTACGAGTTATCTGTTGTTACTCTTTCTCTTTCCTCTGAGAGCGTCAATTATTTGAGAAATGCTAGAATTTATTGAATCCAAGTTTTCTTCAGAATCCTTAGGTTATTGCTTCTGGGATTTAAAAGCGAAATAAACGAAAACGAGCTAGGAAGTCTGTTTCGAAGCTTTAGCTGTGACAATCGTTTCGTACTGATGATCCTATACTCCTGGTCTACAATTCCTTCCTCGGTGTGTTAGAAACATAAACCTTCTGAATCGGATTCAGTTGAGCTCTGATTGCCTCGTAAAACATATTCGAATTCCTGAACTATTTCTAAGAGTTTCAAGAGTCTCAAGAATTTTCTAATAATTTGTCCACAAATAATCTGCATGTAAGAACTCACCAATCAGAGGCATAACAAACACCTGGCGATAGAAGGAACCATTCCTTTGCAGTCTAAACTCGATAGCCACATCCCCGGCCATGGTCTGAAGCATTCCACGGGTAGCGTAGCGCGTATTAGTGTCGTTCTGTAGCTGCGATACTCCGAATTCCGCGAATGTCCAGGCTGACAATATGTTGACGTGCTCGTGTGGGGAGAGGGGATCGGAATTCGCATCGTAGTCGAGAGCTACGCCTTGCTCTGTGCCCAGAATGATGTCGCAGGAAAGACGCTCGTTGGGCCAATTGCGTGCTGCGTCTACACACCAGCTGATCAGCTCTAGGTTGTTGTCCAGCACTGTAACGGTGCCATTGGATGATACGCGTAGCTCGAAGTTCTTCAAAAGGCCGATCTGCGACTCTAAGGCACCGCTGCTCAGGAGGAGTACTAAGTTACTGCCGCTTCTCATTCAGTTAATAGCGAAACTCACTTAAGAACCAATAAGTTGGGAATCCAGATCTCCAGGTCCGGATGAGAGAATGTCTTAATATTTCCATATTGTGTGGGTTCCCAGCTGAGTCGAGGATCCTGCCAGCTCTACAAATAAAATTTCCGTTTAAACTCACAAATCAAAAATCCAATTGCTGAAAATCCAGGAACCACAAATGAAAATTGGAACCACATAATGATTTTTAATAACAAAAATGATTATTATGCCAAGCAAATGAACTCTCCATTAGATAATTATTTTAAAGAGAATCATATTTTTAGGCAATATTTAAAAATGTTTTTATCGCAACAGCCAACTTTTCGGGACTATCTAAAACACAGACACAACTTTAGTTGGGAATTGAAAAAATTGCATGCATTTGACAAACACATAACAAAATTTAAGTTGGATATAAAGAATCGTGCTTATACCAACATCGAAGACATCTTTGTATACCGCTTCCTATTTGTGGAAAATAGAGGTTAGTATTTAAAGAACTACATGATTATAAATTCTTTTAATTTAAATGCTGCTATCGAAATGTGAAAATCATTGGATTGTTAGAAAATATCGAGATCTGTTGACATGAAAGTATAAACGGAACTCTATTTTTGACGTAACTTTTTACTTCTATGTCCAAATATTTTATTTTAATAATATTTTAATAAAGCTTAATAAAAACAGTGGAAACCAATTCTTTAAAAAAGAAACGTGCAAATTCTTATGTAAAGTAAAAATAAAACTTCAGATTGTTTCCCTGAGAAATGTATGAATATAAGAGTATTAATTTGAACATTATGCAGAAGGTAGAATTGTAGACCACACGTTGTACGAATAAGTATCTAATCATCAAGACGAGAACAATCCAAACGCGATTTTTAATTCAATTACTTCTCCGCCGATAGTTAGGGGTCTTGACTGCTGGCAGGATTGGAGCAAGCTTCGTTTTGTTGGACACAGATTAAATGTAAGAATCGATCTTGTCAGATATCGTACACATAATACTAAATGACAAAGAAGAAGTTTTCGAATTAACAACTTTTTGGAATATATTGGAATCAGCTTGAATGTTGAGAATATTATTGTCATATCTGTTGGTGATACCTCATTCTTTTTCTATATATAAAGGAACATTTTGGAATCAAGTTGGTATTGTAACGAATAGTCATGAATAGTTATGAATAGTCATGAATAATTATGAATAGAAAGTGAAGTTCCTAATTCGTTTAATATTGAGAATATTTTTGTAATATCTAATGCTGATGCACCATTCTTTCTCTATATATAAATACATATATTTTGTGGCTTCTGAACATTTTGGAATCAAGTTGGTATTGTAACGAATAGTCATGAATAGTTATGAATAGTTATGAATAGTGATGAATAGTTATGAATAGTCATGAATAGAAAGACAAGTTCCTAGTTCGTTTAATATTGAGAATATTGTTGTCATATCTGATGGCGATGCACCATTCTTTCTTTTGGGAATCAAGTTGGTATTGTAACGAAAAAGCATTAATAGTCATGAATAGAAAGATAACTCCCTAGTTCGTTAAATTTATAATTCTGAACAGCTGCCACTCACCAAAGTCAGTGCGATGCGCGTTCGAAGCAGAGCGTTGGACTGCTCGTAGGTCAGAGCCCGCATCAGAAAGGCGAAGCGAATGCTGCTGAGCGTCGCGGGCTGAGTTTGATTCTGCGCCTGATAGACCAGAGCGCCCAGCAGCTGCTCCTCCACCGACTGACTCCGCTGCTCCGGGTCTAGCTCTTTATCTGCGAATTGAGAGGAAGCTGGTTGTAGATCGGCCTGAAAATCTATTCGCTTACGCACCAAAGCCGTCGAAAGCGCAGTCGTAGAACCAACGAGCGGTATTGGGGCCGAATGTGCTGAAGCTGACGTAATTGATGGTCAGCGCCGAGGCGTCCAGGAAGCGCAGTAACGGCTCCGTCTTGAAGCCCGGTATGAAAACTTGCAAATTTCCGTCTGTGGAGCAGAACAGGAACAGGCGCCATGAATGAAAAATCACTTACAGAGGCAGAATTGAAACTAACCCTTGGTTTGGATGATTTCGATGGGCGTGGGATCGTATATCGACAAGAGATGTTGATCTTGGTTCGTGGATACGCGCCTCAGGCCCATGCTGGTGCGAATAGCCGAGAATGTGTTTCCGCCAGCGCCAATGACTGTGGCAATGGAGAGGCGAATCATTTTGAATAGCAGAAATTTTAGATAAGCGCTTATCGCTGAGCTTTAACCTCACCAATCTCATAGACACGGTCGTGTGGGCGCGGCCGATCCGTGACTGAGAGCAGAATGTGGGCATCCATGCTGGTCAGCACATAGAACTTCAAGTGCAGGCGCTCATCATTCTTGATGTTGTTGTTGTCCAACGAGTGCACAATAAAGAAATCCTTATAAGCATAGCCTCCTTCCGTAATTTCATAAGTATCGCAACTGTCCAATTCGGCAAATGTTATATTATAGCGGCCCTTGGTAGCCGCCGAAGTCGTCCATGGAACCAGGCACAAAATGCAGCTGATAAGCCACAATCCGCAATTAATATTAGGCGTAATATTCATATTCAAAACTGAGCCAGCGAGAATGTGTGCGCTCTAGAGGAGCGTTAGATAGCAACTGAAACACTCTGCGGATATAACGACTATCTGGAGCAGAAGCGGGAACAACCGCTTAGCGCTCAAGCCAAATCATTCATAAAACATTTATAATAATGCTGATAACAATATGTTATTGTTTACTCAATATACTTGCATGCGGTGCCAAACTCTTAAGTAAAAAAGGCATATTTCAAGTATTGCTGTAGCTTGAAGATTATTGCAGTAAAATTCTTTTTTTTTAACTATCTGCATCTCTTATTCTCACATGCGTTGCATCATCATTCGTATACAAATATTTAGTTAACTAACTAATGAGTTAATTCATAAATAAATTAAATAATTGCTTCAGAAATCGGTTTTATGAGGCTGACTAATTATTTTCCGAAGCAACATTTGGTGCGAATCTAGAATACGATGGCTTGTGGTGAAAATAGTTAGGCGCCACCTAGCGTTGAAGTAGAAGGTACGTTACCCAGCATACTTACCATGGCGCAACTCACTTCCACCACAGCATACTCTACGGCATAAAGCGTTTGCAAATCCAACCATCTTTTCGGCATTATTTATACACCAACTTCGAAAAAGGGCGCCACTTCGTGAACAGTACAAGCAAAATTATTGGGCATAACTCATGTTAATTCTTGTATACTTCTGAAATATTTGTTCAATAGCTACTTAAAATTAAAGAAACTGTGCAAGTTTGTTTTACGAAGTAAAAGTTTGAAACGAAATACGCATGGCAGTTGCGCGAGCGAATGTTTAATTAATAGTTTAAATATTAGAAAAATTATGTAATTATGTACATATTAATTTGTGTGTGAAGTGTGCAAAATATGTGTTCATTAATGCGACATAATAAGCATGAAAAATGCGTATGGCAGTTGCGCGAGCGAATTTACAGTTATGATTTTTGATTCCTTGCTTTCACTTTTATATTCTTACGAGAACATTCTGCTTGCAGCTGCAATGCAAGGCTTAGTTTTTCGCGACCTGTTGAACGCGTCGCGCCGTTTGTGTTTGGAGTTGCCGAAAACTCTAATAAAACGTTTAATTAATAGTTTAAACATTAGAAAAATTATGTAAAAGTATATGTACATATTAATTTGAGCGTGAAGTGTGTAAAATATGTGTTCATTAATGCGACATAATAAGCATGAAAAAATGTGTATGGCAGTTGCGCGAGCGAATTTACAGTTATGGTTTTTGATTCCTTGCTTTCACTTCTACATTCGTACGAGAGCATTCTGCTTGCAGCTGCAATGCAAGGCTTAGTTTTTCGCGACCTGTTGAACGCGTCGCGCCGTTTGTGTTTGGAGTTGCCGAAAACTCTGATAAAATGTTTAATTAATAGTTTAAACTTTAAACATTAGAAAAATTATGTAATTATGTACATATTAATTTGTGTGTGAAGTGTGCAAAATATGTGTTCATTAATGCGACATAATAAGCATGAAAAAATGCGTATGGCAGTTGCGCGATCGAATTTACAGTTATGGTTTTTGATTCCTTGCTTTCACTTTTACATTCTTACGAGAGCATTCTGCTTGCAGCTTGCAATGCAAGGCTTAGTTTTTCGCGACCTGTTGAACGCGTCGCGCCGTTTGTGTTTGGAGTTGCCGAAAAATGTTTAATTAATAGTTTAAATAATAGAAAAGTTATGTCAAATCATATGTAAATACATATTCAGTTGTGGGTGAAGTGTGCAAAATATGTGTTTATTAATGCTAAACTGCCGCGCGATTAATGTGCTGCGTACACACATACATACTTATGTGTGTATGTGTGTGTTCGTGATTTCAAATAAATTGCGCAGTGCCTTTTGTTGTGCCAATTTTTTTTATTTATTTTTTTAAGTGCTTGTAAATGTGATTTAAATAAGTAAAGGTGTTCAATTTGAAAATAATTTTTAATTAAAGTGATCGCAATTCATTTGTATGTAAGTGCGCAGTGCCCATATTTTTTGTTATTTTTTTTAAGTGTCTGTAAATGTGATTTTTATAAGTAAATTATCAATATGAAAATAATTTTTAATTAAAGCGATCGCTAATCTGTATGCAAATGTAAGTACGAAGCGATTTATATTAATGATTTTATGAATGGGTCTCACTCACAGTGGCAGACGAAATGTCATAACATAACAGATTCACAAAAAAAAAAGAAAGAAAAAAACTCAATTTACAGAACTTGCCGAAAATGTTGTATAACAGATTGCTAACTGGCCTATATTTGTGTATTGAGTCTGTTGTATGAAGACATACCAACAAGTTGGCGTTAGGGGATCGAGCTCCGTTAGATCAATCAGAAACGCAAGAGAGCGTACGAATTCTCTTAAAAAAGTTAGGTAATGAAGTCAGCATGTAAGACACAATTATGCATAATAAATAATTGGCAAGTCGAGCTGATTCCTTTTTTTCGGTTTAAGAATTAAATTAAAGAAATTAATTTGGACTTTATTTATTTTATTTGCATTCTCTGTATATGAAATGTACAAGAGTATATTATGTTTGTGCGCGGTGAAAAATGTAACAGGCAGAAGGAGGCGTGGCAGACCCCACAAAGTATATATATTCCTGATCAGGATGACAAGAAGAGTCGATATAGCCATGTTCGTCTGTCCCTCTGTGTATCTGTCCGTCTATTTGTATGAACGCAAAGATCTCCCGCTGTTGACGATTTTCTATAACTCCCGTAATTCTTGGAATTTTTAACTCAAATTTGGTAAACAGTTATAGCAATAATTGTAATATCTCTGTAATCTCTAGCAATAATTGTTGTTTTTGTTGCTGTTTGTTGACTTAATTCTGTACTTCACACATATGTTTCCAATTATGTATGTAATTATTGATTATATTTTTTAAAAACTTTAATATATAAAATTTTTTTTTTTATTTTAAAATTTAAAATGTTTACCTTCGTTTTGAGAGAAGGTACTTGGTATTTAAGAGTTGAGCCCGCTCGACTTTGGCATTCCTTTCTTGATTTTTTTTTTTAAAGTCCTTAATTTTTTTAACTCTATAATTATTACACATATATAAATATGTAGAGAGTATTTCATAGTCGGGATATCCGACTTTAGCTTCTCCACTTGTTAAATCTGGAACCGATTCAGTGTTGTCGAAGCAATTCTGCAATATTTAACTCACCTTATTTTAATTAGGAACCATATGAGATAAGAGCATATATCTGAAGAGAACTCAATCACGATTTCTGAGTAAAACACGAATTTTATATAATTAAATTTTATTTTAAGTTTCTTCTCGTTCAATTACAAATGTATTTCGTATTATTTGTTATCTCATTGCTGGTATATTGTTTGATTTTTGTCTTGATTCGTGCTGTTGAGTCGCTTGAAAATAATTGGAAATTCATTGGGGTGCCATACATGAATACTATATACTGGTACTATATGTGTGTATTCGTTTATGCCATGTGCTTAGAAAACCAATTTGTTTCACTGAACTGCGTATTTTATAGTAATTTTTAAAATGCATGTTTTGTTTGTAAATAAAATAATATCTGTTGCGTTCAACTGCTAAAGTATCTGATGCTTTTCATGGCGCTCCCTCTCTTAAATATATATAAATATGTATTGTATATATAATTTTTTTGTTTTTATATATATAATTACATTTCACAAAATACAATTCACAACTACTCTTGACGTTAAGTTTTCCTTTGTGTAACTTCAACTGACTTCATCACTGGCAGGTGGCAGACGGCACAACCGACTGCCATGCCTCCTCGCTCCACATTCCAATCTTTGCAAGAAGTACGAGTACATAGGTATATTATATTTTAAACATACATTTTCATTTTCTCAAAATTAAAAAATCGTATACATTTGCAAATTGCAATCAATTTCCGTAAAATTTAGTTTTAATATATAGTAAATAAATTTCAATCACAAAAAATCAAAACAGTTGCCTAAACGTAAAAGGTTTCAATTTTTCATTCGAATTGTTGCCCTTAACTGTGACGCCCGTTCGAATTTTTTCTCGTTTTTTTTTTTACATTGCTGCCATTTTGTTTGACTTTTCATTTACGTATATTTGTTACACTTTAGCCTTTAATAAGTATGTTTTGCCTTTTATAAGATAGATTTAGATCGAAGCGTTTGCTATGTACGCCCAAAAGTAAAACACTCGGCCAAGGAGCTGACACTGCTCTCCCAGCTGTCTTCTTACAATAAAACTAAACACTACTTTAGCAATAATTTTGTAAGCTTATCAACAACATCGAATAGCGTATTTTAATGTTTCCTTCTCTCCCTCCTCATTCTTTCAATATGCGTATTAAACATTGTATTGTACTGCTTGTACGACGTGTAGAGAAATTTGCTAATTAAAGTTTACATTTTTGGTTATCGATCGATCGTTGGATCGTTCGTTCGTTTGTTCGTTTTACTTGGAGAGCTTCGTTTTAATGATACGTATAAGTGTTGAGGGGTTATTAGTGCTAAAAACAGAAACAACTCAAACAAGCTAATTGTGAAAATACACAACAAATAAAACGCAACAGAAATAGTAATTCGTTAACTCTGTACTTACTTCAAACAAAAGAGCAGAAAACGTAAGCTACGGCCAGACAGGCAAATAATTTGCCCACAAATCCGTCAAATCAATAAGTTGACACTCCCATGAGTCTAGTTGAAATTGTGTGCAAAGAATTTGTCTGTGTGACCATCAATTGAAATGAATAAAAACGAAAAGAGAACGAAAAATTTGGTTTAATATGTTTTATTACAACTCTTGTATATTTTGTTTCATGCTTATGGAAATATTTAAATACTATATAGCTGCTAAAACATTATACACATCGTTGCTATATATTTATATATATATATTTACTTTTGTTGTTTTTTCAAGAAATATTTTGTGTTTTTAATGCGAAATGCTGACCGCTTAATGTCGCTTCATATATAAATATTAAATTTAAATACAATAGTTGTTAATGCATAATAGATATTTTCTTTGTTTTGTTTCACACTTTCATTTTTTGTTTGTTTTGTAAATCTAACGCTATGTTTAATTATATTACTAATACATAGGTTTATTTATTTTTTGTTTACTTTATACAATCGTTTGCGGCCTAAATGCATAATGCCCTGCGTCAGCTGCAATTGTTGGCAATTTATTTTCTAGCGGGTTTTTAAAAATTAAATTCAATTTTTTGAGCTTAAATGCAGTTGTTGTTGCTGTTGTTGTTGGGTTCGTTTTTGTAGATTTCCGACGCTAAAATGCAATTACTAAAATGTAAGTTTAATTTAAGTTTATGTGTTATAGTTTAGGCATAGTTTTTGTTTCGGCTTTTTAGTTTTAAAAAAACGTTTACAAACTACGCTTCATAGAAGTATTTACAGAAAAGGGTGTGTGTGTGTGTGTGTGTGTATGTGTGTTTGTGTATAAATTGTAACTTAATTTTAGTGCGACGCCTTATAGATAGAAAATAATTTACAAATGGTTCTCATTATATGTACCGTGCAATCGGGCAATCTTTTGATAATGTTGCCCATCTGCCCCGATTCTTTGTCCTCCACTCCTACTCCTACTTCCTGTGTGTGCTTTAACGCATTCGAACTGTGTAATGTTTAGGTTAATAGTAAGTAGTAAGTTACTTTAAATGTTAGTTGTAATTTCGAAATATGGCTCGTGGCTCTGACTTGGCAGTGGCATTTACTCGCGCAGAGTTCTTTGCTCCTTTTGATTACGTTTTATTTTACGTGTATTTTAATTCGTATGGGCATCTATTGCTGCTTGCTGTACGGTCGTAAAAACTATTTATTTAGGTATACGCATATTTTTTGTTTTCAGTCTATTTCGTTGGAAAAAGTAATGGAAAAAATGAAAAATCAATCGGGGACATACATATGTTCATATAGCCAATGGTTTAGACCACGCGCGCCTTCTCAGCTGTGCCTTCAACTCTATTGCGCTCTCGAAAGTTCCAGAGCGTTTCTTCCACTCCCCATTCGCTCTTTGCTGGCATGCTTCTTCTTCTTCATCATCTTATTTTGTTCTTCTACATATACTACGTTTTCTTCTGCTTCTTCTGCTGTTTCTCAAAGGTTTTTGGACTAGAATGTTATACAAATAGTTTCGTTTTAATGCCTGCGCTCTAACAAACTACAGCTACAAAAGTAATATGGCGTTGCTTAAACCTTTGATTAAAAAAGAGACAGTGAGTGCGCGAGTGAGTGAGTGAATGAGTGAGAGAGCGAGAGATTAAGTGAGAGAGTGAGAGTGAGAGAAAAACTGATGGCCTTACAACTGACTGAAGCTGCTCGTTGAGACCCAGTGCGCCGTGTCCGGGCGTACCATTAACTATATGGGACCGTAGTCGCTCAATGCCTGCCCCGGATGCTGGGAGCCCTGCCCGCCGGGCAAAGTAACCACCACTGAGACAGCCCGCGAGTCTATTACCGACCCGGGCGCTGTACTCTGGCCCCCACTTGCGCCCACACCAACACCATTGCCATTGCCATAGACGCCCACATTGCCGGGCGCTCCGTTAGCACCGCCCACCCCACCTCCGTGTAACAAGCTGCCAGGAGGAGCTCCCATACCAGACATACCGCCACCGCCAACCGTACTATTGCTCATGCCCGCCGTGCTCATTAGTGTGCCGTGTCCGCCTAGCACGCTGCCGCCGCCAATCGTACTGCCGCCGCCGCCACCACCCATGGTTGAAGCTCCTCCTGACTCTCCATGTCATACGTGACTGGCCGCTGGCTGCTTGAGAACATGGTGGTGCAGATGATGGTGGCTAGTGGAGGCCACCGAGGCACCGCCTTGTGTGTAGGGTGTGGCCAAAAGCGACCCCGCAGCCGAGCCCACTGGCATGCCCATTCCGGAGCCAGCATAGGGATGTGGTATGGGTGGCCGTTGCTTGATCAGCGCCTGATTGGCTCCAGTGCGATCGGGCGCGCCGAATAAACGTCGCCAGAACCGACGCCAGCTCTCAAGTGTCTTGCCCGACCAGATCCAAACACCCGACGTGATTCCCACCGCCAATGCCATGAAGTACTTCAGCATGAGCACTGAGTAGAGAGGTTTCTTACCCGGACCCTTTACCTGGGCACACGGGCATGCCAGCGATTTGATCCAATCTTCGAAATAGGCCGCCTCGTACAGATAGCAGCCGATGACAATAGTCGCTGGGACGGTGTAGAGCACCGAGAAGATGCCAATGCGTATCATGAGCTTCTCCAGCTTGTCCGCCTTAACGCCGGCACCCACTCCGCCCTGTTGCTTGATCACGGATCGAATGCGGAAGAGCGAAACAAAGCCGGCCATTAGGAAGGTGGTGCCAATTACCAAATAGACGAAGAGAGGCGCCAGCACAAAGGTCTTCAGGTGATCCGGATTTAGGTTGCCCACGTAGCAGATTCCCAGTATGGGATCTCCATCGACTGCGGACAGCAAGATGACGGCCACAGACTGGACTGTGGGTATCAACCAAGCGGCCAAATGGAAGTACTGCGAGTGTTTGGTGATAGCCTCATTGCCCCACTTTAGACCGGCTGCTAGGAACCAGGTGAAGCTCAGGATGACCCACCAAATCGAGGAGGCCATGCCAAAGAAGTAAGTGAGCAGAAAGACCAGCGTACAGGAGTGCGGCCCGGTAGAGCTTTCGCGCAGCAGACGTCCATCGCAGGCGATCTCCTCGTTCTGCAGAAAGTTGCGGGACAGATAGCCGACGGCCACCATGAAATAGCAGGCCGAGAGAAAGACAATGGGCCGCTCCGGATATTTAAACCTTTCGGTGTCTATGATGAATGTGGTTAGGGTCATGAGGGTGCTGCAGAAGCATAGACCCGACCACAGGGCGATCCACAGGCCGGCGAAGTCCTTTTCGTCGTTGCTGAAGAACGGACCCTTGCATGGTATGGCGCAGTTTGGTACGCCGGCGATCCTTTGCACAGTGAGGTTCATGTACCAGTGATGATGCATCGATGGCTGCTGTAGCAGCTGCTCCTTCCCCAGGACGATGAGTGGCTGGCGGCACGAGCAGCTGCACTCCTTTGCGTTTGCCCTTTCTCCTAGGGAATTTTGGCAGTTTTTTGAATTGCCCTTGCCCTTGCACTTCTGTGTAGTGCCCGACCCAGAGCCGGAGCCGCTCTGGCCGCCCTGCTTGCGTTTTCCGCCGCCAGAGCTGCCACTCGAACCACTGCCGCCTGAGCCGCTGCCGCCACTGCCCGCCTCCGTATACGAGGGCTGCTCCATGCACAGATTCTCGGAATCACCGTGCAACGGCAAATGCTCGCAGGCCATTCGCTCCGGCCACTCGAAGCTGTACTGCTGCATGATGGGGGCGCAGCCGGAGCGCGCACGCTCGCAAACCGAGCGACACACTGGCAGCGGCTTGTGATAGTCCTCCAGACAGATGGGCGTGTACATTGAGCAGAGGAAGAACTTTAAGTCGGGCGAGCACTTGATCTCCACCAGCGGCCAAAACTGATGCACCTCCAGGCCCGCCTCGTCCTGTGTCTCGTGGTTCATCTCGTTGGGAAACGAGGTCATGTTGTAGCCAATGCCGCGACACATTGGTATCGTGATCTCCTCGCAGCGCGAGTTGGGGTCCTTGGGTATGGCAGGCACGCCATAGCCCGGCGCCGGACTCACCTCCATGGAGTGTGGAACCATGCCCATGCCACCCATGTGGCCCCCCAAGCCACCTCCATTATCCGTCATGTGCTGTGGGCTGTCAGCTCGAGCCATTGCTCCAAGGAGCAGCAGGCAAAGCATGCTCCGCACTGATCTACTTGTATGCCAGCTGGGAGTTGCTGCCGCTAATTGTGTGTGGGTTGCCATCGTTTTCATTTTGTTTGTGTTGCTTATCCTCTGGGTTGTTCGTTGGTGGTTCAGCTTCCTGCGGCTGCAGCGTGTTGCGTCTGCCTTGGCAGCGCTTTGTCCAATGCGCAAAGTTTTACGAACTTGACGAGTTTCCACTGCGTCGCGTCAAATTGTCAACGCTCGACAACTGACGTGGAGTAGTAGCTGCAAAGAGAAGACGAAAAGTGGGTGACCATTAGTCGAAATGTGTGTGGCACAACTAGCAACTAGTCCTCTCTCATTTGAATCGCCTCAATTGAAGGCACTCGGCGGCTGACATGTTCTGTCCAACCCTTCCGCCCTTAACAAAGTGGAAGCTGGGGAGAGAGAGAGAGTCCGAGCCCATTGTCAATATTTGCTTTGCCAACTGCTGATGCTGCATAGGCCCATGGGCCTGCTGACCAAGAGGCGCATCAATCAAAATCACAGACTTTTATTAAATTTGACAGTCGCAAGCGGCGACAAACGACTCAACGACAATGGCGACATTGTGGCCGCTGACATTCTTGATCAAACTGTTTGTTCGGAAAGGGTGTAAACGAGTGAGTGTTTAATGGCAGGATGGGGGAGGGGGAGGGGGAATAGAACGAATACACACTCGCTGGCGTGTGATGAAGCAGAAATTAATTCAAGACAATTGCTCACTTTACTCACACGTCCAAGTATCAAACCCCACTGGATGACTAGTCAAGTGTATCAGCTCAGAGGCTCAGCGAAGCATGCCCGCAAAACGGCACAGTGGGCCGGAAGTAAATCAAATTGGACAAACGGTAGTAACTAGAGTTCCCATTTAAATCAGTGCTTAAAACTAACACACTCTGAGAATATCAAGCAATCACAAATTATACCTATAAACGACGGAAAGCACTTGAAGTATTATTTCACGTGCTTTTTTGTAAATCTCTCGGCATTATTTAAGAACTGTCCTCGATTGGACAGTAAAATTTTATGATAATTCTGATATTTTTTAATCATGCTATCGTCGTGATGCTTGCGGCTTGATTTTAGCCGAGTGCCTACTCAAGGATCGAACTCTGATCGTGGGTTTCCTTCTAGCTGGTTTGAGCTATCCCAAGCCCTATTATTTAAGGATGAAATCACAATGTTTTATCGAGAAGTTTTTCATAACCAATCCCTGCAATGTTTACAAATAGTAGCTTTCATTGAATTTCTGATATATTTCGGAACTATAGCATATATTCCTTTCATACTACGCGACATCGAAATTATATTGATATTAAAGAAGTGGTCGTTCCTTCAACTAGTATCGATTTTATTAATATTAATACTATGTTTTTCAAATCCAAATCAGTTGGAAGAATAAGGCTGAGCTAAAAGCTCAAAGCTGGCTGTTAATACCGATTTTCGACGCGCTTTTTAATCCGCTATAGCTATAAGTCTAATATCACGTGTGGAGCTATATTTAATTAAAGGGTACATTAATAAATAAAAAAATGTTCGTATTGAATAGAAAATTAGTGGTTAAGCAGTTGTGGTAAACAATAATTATTCTTCCTGTTTCCACAAATGTTCTTTTATATAAAAAACATCAAATACATTTCTTAACACCTTGGACGTTCATCCGAGAGGGTTCTTTTTTATAAAAAACATCAAACAAAATTCTTAACACCTTCATAGTTCGTCCGAGGGTAAGGGGTCATCACAAAGCCAGTGTTTGTGTCAATTAAAATGAATATACGCCAGAAACTGGACCACTGTGCACCATGGACTGAAGTGCAAGTTCGAGTGCAAATTCCGAGCAGGCAGCTGTCAGCAAGCAGCAACAAAGCGGCCTGCAAATTATATGGCCAACACCTTGTTAACTGTGTCAGCCAGTCAGTCATTGGCAAGAGATGTGGGCAGCATCGGAACATGATATCAATACCAAAATTTTGTGGTCAACGCGATCCGAGAGCAGCTGCAAAAACGAAACCAAGCCAGCAATGAAACTGAGCTCGACGCCAAGACCAAGACCGAGATGTAGATGGAGAAGGGCTCACCAAATTGACAGATGGACAAGTTGTTGTTGTTTTTGTTGTTGGAGCTTCTACCACTGGGGTGGCAAAAAGTGAAGGGCGTTTAAGCAGCTACTGTTTTAAAGCAAAAATTTATCTACGAGATACACAAAACTCAGGCACATCAGACAAGTGTCAAGTGACATATTTGTGGCTTTTGTGGCTAGCATAGGCTGCTGGCTCTGGGCTGTTGGCTGTGTTGTGTGTGGTCTACAAAATCGAAACAAAATCTTCTACGGTTCGACAGCTTTAAGAACAAAATGCAGCCCGAAAACACTGCCAGGCATAGACACAGCGAACATGTCCTGAACTTCTTGGAAGCTGCGCAAAATAGTTGAACTATTTGGCAAGTGCCAGCGCACATAGCTGCTTAAATAAGTGACATTTTAATTAATAACATTTGTGTGTCACACCCACCATCCTACACACACACACACACACACACACACACACACATACTATACACGCAATCCAAATGAACTTGATTCAAGTGCTCCTGTAAAAGGGTGCCAGGCCATCGTTGATTGCCATCGCCGAGTTGGCCGATATGTATGGCCGTGTTGGCGACGCCAGCTGAAACATTTTTCGTGTAAAAATGTTTACCGAGCACTTCAAAATAATTAAGTAAATACTTTTCGGGAAATGGAAAAGCGTGCAGGCATTTCTCGGGGGGTGTTGCATTGCTTTTGCGCAGCTCCAAAAATAAATGTTGAAATACAATATCTGAAATGTGGGCGCACGAAAGACAAAGGGGCGCGAGATAATGCTGTGAGAAAGAATGCCAGGCGCGTTGCATATCAAATGTCGCGCCAAAAGCCAGCTCTATTGCCAGTGCTGCAAAGCGAGGCATCTTTATGTTCAGGTTATAAATCTTGCTTGATCTTTCTGTCCTAAGTTGGACAATTATTAAATATTATGCTCTTATCATGATGGTTGCGGCGTGATTCGAACCGAGTACTCATGGATCGAAATCCCAATTGTAACATTCCCGCTAGTTCATTGCCAGTGTTGCAAAGCAAAACCTTTTCTTTGGATCGCTGCTCATATTTTTAAAACTTTTTTTCCACAAATTCCGAGAGAATTACGAGTGTAATAAATAATTATTAATTAATATATATATTCCACGAAAACATTTAATAAACGACCTATGTTTCGAACGCTGCTTCACAATTAATTCAAGAAGCGACAAATTAAAGCAAACCTATACCTACTTGTACACAAGTCTATTAATTGGATTCCTTAACTTGCGGCAGAAAGCAGTTTGTTGCACTCTCCAAAGTATGCGAGTCAGCCAAACATATTTAAATGCAGAACGTGACCAAAATCGATGACTAGCCTGCTAGCAGACGCAAAGAAAAACAAATACAAAAACAAAAACAACAGAAACCGAATTGGTTCGACAAAAGCCGTGCACTCAAGGTAGCCGAAAACACTTGTAACGGCCCAAAAATAACAGCGACAACTACAACAACAACAATATACGCCCATCCTGTTGTTGTTGCTAATGTTGTTACAGTGTCAAGGGCCCATCCTCGTCGGTATGTCGATTGCTTGGGGTCCGAGCGGGCAACTAATAAGTACATATGTTCATGTGTTCATGGGAAATGGCTCAGAAATAATAGCAAACGTGCCTCGTTGTCGAACCCAAAGAGAAAATGCATAAATATTATTTTTAATAGAGAAAAATGTCTCAAGTGGTAGGCAGTGGATGGCCATGGAAAGTGGTAGGCAAAATGTTTGTATTTGATTTGCTGGCTCACATGTTTATTTAGTGATTTGTTGTTTTACTTTTTTCTTTTTTTTTCTTTTTTTTGCTGCTGCTTATTGTTATACATACGAGTACTATATGCTCGTATATACAAGTAGTATGCTTACGATATTTGAGAGCGTGGCCTGAGAAAATATGCGACTCATATTGTTTATTTAATTGTTAACAAGGCGGCGGGACGAGCTCGGTCGAGCAAAGCTCGTTACGAGTAACAAATTATTATTGGAAGCGATGCTAAGCCAACTAGCAACAACAAGAACAGCAACAACAGCGGGAATAAACAGTAACACTAAGCCGCCGACGTCGACGTTCCACTGCATTTTTGCAAATCATGGACTAAAGAGGTGCGTCAACGACGACGACTATGACGATTCCTACGAGTCGACCAAGTCAAGCTGTTGGCGTTGCCCAGAATTTATAAAAAATCACGCTGCCAACAAGTCTCAACGATGTTTGTTCAAGCTCTCGAATGCGACGACGACAACCGACAAACGACAGCCGACAGCCAACAGACGACGACACGAAAAGCTTAAACGCATAACCGAGGGATCATGATGGAGTCGCAGTGCCGAGTTCCTCCATATTTGCTAAGCACTCGAGTTTCCGTTGAAGTTGCAGCAAAGAGAGAAAAAAGCCTACAGAGAGAGAGAGAGAGAGAGAGAGAGAGAGAGAGAGAAAAAGGGAGAGACTGTATTGCCAAGATCGTTGGAGACATGCAAGTGAACGTGAATGGCTGCTCTTGATTGCACTAAAGGGGCCACAGACTCAGACTCCGGCTTCTTCAACTCCAAGTAGACGGAAGCTGTTACCAAAGTTGGTAGTAGCTGCCAACGAGAAACAAGAAGAAGACAAACAACATCGACAACAACGGCGACAAAAGCAGCAGCGACATGTTGAGTGTTTTAATTAAACAAACAAGGCATAATACGAACACAGCATTACTTTCCAAGTACAGTTGACACCAATCTCATAAAGAGCGATAGCGAGAGCAGTGGGGAATAGGAATGAGCAAGAAAAACGTTTTTTATTAATAATTTATAATTTATTAATAATTTCAACAAGTTTTTTCACATGTTTAAGTACTTTTTTGAAGCAATACAATATTTATTTAGGTAGTTCAAGAATAAAATCAATTAAGAGTCATTTTAATCAAGTTAAAATAACAGAATATACGATTAATAGTAGAATCTCAATTTCAGAAATTATACTCCGGTTGACACTCTGCCCCTCACTCTGTCTGTATAAACGCATGGATATATATTTGATGTATTAAATGTTATCCTAAACATGTACTATTCGCACATTTTGGTGAGTATATTCAAACGTATATGCAAACAATTACAAAATCTTTAAGCACTAAAATTAGAGTAGAAATATTTCAA